TGCTAATTGCCTATAATTTCCACCTGTTGTCTATTCCATTTGCACAACAGCATGCGACATTTATTGTCAATCAGTGTTGCTTCCTAAGTGGACAGTTTGATTTCACAGAAGCGTGATTGACTTGGAGTTACATTGTGTTGTTTAAGTGTTCCCTTTATTTTTTTGAGCAGTGTATATATATATATATATATGTTCTTAATCTATATAAATAATCATTCAACACAAATATATATAGACACATGTGAAGTTGACAATTCAGGTGTAGGGGAAATGAACAGTTTCAACGCATAACTGTGGTACAAAAGTCTTTGCCAGTACCAGTACATTGAAGTACCATTGACTCCATTTAATTCCTGGGATAAAGAGCCTGATATAACGATATGACTCCAGTCACATGATTGGTCTTATGGGACAATGCTCTTTATGTCCAGTGGAAATAAAGTAAAACGTACATGCAATGCGAACTTCCACAAGCTTTAGGGTATATACACTACATGCTTGTTCTGTTACTATGTTTTTGGTAATCCCCATAGCAAAACTGGGGGTCAATTCCATCACACTTCCAATCTATTGCTATCGAATACAATTCCTATGGATTAAACAAGGAATTGAAACGGAACTGACCCCAACACTGCCCAACAGTCACCTCTCACATGGGGCTCTCCAGTGTGTTGTAGTTGTCCTTGAAGCGCTTGAGCTCCAGGAAGTGCTTTGGCCTCTTGCTCTGTTGGCTGGTGGAGGGCAGGTAGGTGACCAGTATGGTGGAGGGGGTGCTGTGGGCTGAGGAGCCCGTCAGGTCCTTGGCTACTGACTGGTGATGTTGGTCCAGACTGGTGGAGCTGGGGTAGGCTTTCACACTGAAGGGAGAAGAGAGAGGGTAGTGTCAAACTCAAATTAAATGGCATGATAAAGTGAGAGTGAAGATTTCTGTGACATGATGAGGAGTTGAGGACCAAAGACATCTCTTCCTACTGATATATTTATTTGTTGAGCAAACACATTCATTTTTGTAATAATACTTACACATCCGCCAGTTCATTCAGAGCATCCTGGTATTTCATATATTTCGCTTCCCCAAATACCTAAAACACAAAGAGTCACTTCCACTGACAAACACTGTCAACAACACTGCCTCTTTAAGACAAAAAAAAGCTCTTTACCTGACTTGCTTTTCAAAGATGTCTAGAAATGTACACGTTTTGTGCTCTTTCTTGTAGTGAGCAATCACTCCCCTATTGCTGACTACAAATTATCCATAACTGGGCTAATAACTCACTAACTAGCAAAGGATAAGAACAAAATGTCCACACATGGCTACATGCAGCTCTTGCTTTGATCTCAAAACAAGCACATCTACTCACGACCACAGCTATAAACACAGTCCAGTTCAAAGTAAACGGCACAGATCCATATATGGCAATAGTCTATTTCCATATAGGCCTACGCAATAGAATCCTACTCCGATGCGTTCTGCCTACAACAAAATCTCTTGCAAAGTTAGTTTTGTTTCAGTATGTTGCATTGAAAGTGGCTAATATTGCGTTGATTCGATCACAATTTCCACAGTAAAGGGAAACGTTGATAGTGTTAACTAAGAGGGAAAACTCTAGAAAGTTGAGTGAAGTTAAATCTCCTGCTTCTCTTCATGGGCTGATATTTCTTCTGCGTTCTGCGTGGCAGTCCCGGGGGAGCTACGAGGCAGTTTCGTGGCTACGGCACGCCTGCGCACGCGCGAAGCTTAGAGGGAACATTGGTTCCAAGTGGTAGCTACTGTATGTGTTTAGTGACGGTCGAGGCAAGCAAATATTATTTGATAATATCATAAAGTTTCAAAGGGGCCATGATACAAGAGCATACACATTCCATCATAAGCAACTAGGCCAAACTAAGGATCAGTCATAAACATTTGAGAATAGGCGCATCACCTCGCTCATGAATGCATATCAAAATCAGCATCTTCAGCACCTTGCACAACATTCACAGCATTACCGCTTCGAACACACCGACTGCGTCATTGCATCAATGCTGCATAACATTTTGCGCAGCTACGCAACTATACTGAATGCAGGTATCTACACACGTGTTGCAGACAGTTGCATGCGGTTCGACACATGGAGGAGAGAATGATTTTCGCAGTATCCTCAAAACCATGTCTTTTTGACACAACTGCTGACAGCTACAGGGACATAAACACAAAAAATGCTGCTTGGAGACAAGTGTCCATGATAGTAGGATTTCCAGGTCAGTTTAGTAGTGAGCTTTTGCTAGATGTGGCTAGTTAGCTAGCTAGCTAGCTTGCTAACCTAGCCAATGAGGTGTGTGTGTGTGTGTGTGAAAGAGAAATAGTAATATAAATGATGCTATCTACTACCCCTGATAACTTGGCCAAATAATCATGCTTGAAAGAGTGTGAGTGTGTATGTGAGAGAGTGTGAGTGTGTATGTCAGATAAATAGTAATAGAAATGATGCTAGATACTACCCCTGATAATTTGGTCAGATAACCGTGTGTGTGTGTCAAGTAGGTGACATGTCCATGATAGCTATCAGAAGACTGTAGGAGGAAGTGGAGAGGACTCAGGGACAGGTATCAGAAGGAGAGAAGGGCAGAGAAAGAGAAGAAGAGGTCTGGGTCAGCAGCTTCAGGCCAGCGGCCTTGGCACATCTGCCACATTCTTTCTTTTCTGGATCCATTTATTGTGCCTAGGGCAACGAGTGGCAATTTTACAGCCAGACCCTCTACGTCATCCACAAGTGTGGGCGCCACCGGTGCATCAAGACCCTCTATGTCATCTACAAGTGTGACCACCGTCTCCACCGGTGCAGCGAGACCCTCTACAACGTCTATATCATCCACAAGTATGACCACCACCGGTGCAGCCATGGAAGATGATGAAATGGAGGAAGCACCTCTGGATCTAGGACCACCTGAGATTATTATGACCCTCACGGAAGTGACCACTGAGGACTTCGTTGAACAGGATGTGGCCGTGGAGACAAACAAGGAGAGAAACAGGGACAGAAACAAAGAGGAACAAGATAAGAGTGTCTGCTAAATGACAAAAAATGTAAATGTACCAGCCCCCAGATCCACTCAACTAATTTCAGCAAAGGCTCCTCCAAGCCGTCGAGAGGGATGCAGCCCAACCTGATGCTCACAGGAAAGAGGATGAAGAGACCCTCTTTGCTATGAGCCTGGTGTCAACCCTGAAGAGGCAGCCTCAGCAAAGAAAAGCGGCAGTCAAGGTTAAAATTCATCAGCTGCTTTTCGAAGCCGAGTTCAATGGTAAGTTTTTTGTCATCCACAACACAGGTAGTGTCATAAGTATTGCGACAGTGAAGTAAAGTAGGTCATTTTTACAGTATACTCATGTAGGCTAATTGGTATTTCAGATCAAAGGAGGCAAATGTATAGCTGTTGTTTCTGGGTTAGAAAATATCATAAAACAACAGCTTGATGTCTAAATATTTGCCTGTCATATTCATCTTTTGATCTGAAATACAAATTCCATGAGTAAACAGCAAGAATTACCAACTTTACCACACTGTTCCAATATTTATGCCACTAACTACACTATACAAGCATTATTTAGTTAACATAAATCTCACCTTTTATGGTGTTATATTATGTAATGCTTGTATGTGTTGTTTTTCACTTCCCTTCCAGAGATGGAGTCAATTTAGCCGACCAGCTCACAGGAAGGACAGGAAGAGGAGAGGAGTTGTCTGGTTGTTGTTTTGACCTCCCTCACTGTACCTCTCCTTTCACACACGTCAGTTCTGTTTAAATTCAGTCAATTCATTCATTTATTTGTTTCTAGGATAGCATTCATTATTAGTGTTACATAGATTTCTGAATTGACATAATTGAAACTCACACACCAGAGAATTCACAGACGCTCTTGTTGGTCTCTTACAAGACTAAAGGTGAATATATTTATTTTATTTAAAACCACTTGAAAACCAGGGTGTTGAAACTTTTAGTGAAGTTATGTTCCATTAACTGGTCCATGACGTCCAGGGGCCATTTGTTTGTTTAGCTGTATTATGGCTACACATTATTTTCTTTTTTTTAAGACACAGAGACACACACACACACACACACACCTCTCCTCCACTCCTCTCTGTACCTCAGATCTCTAGTGCCCTGCCCTCTCTCTCTTTATGGCCATGACTGAAGTTCCCCTACTACGTCTAGGCTTTATGAGTAGTTCCTGTATCTGTCTGCAGTTGTGCCAAAAAGACATGCTCTTGTTCTCTTACAGATTATAGGCTACACATAATGTATTTTACATGCACATACATGCACACACACACTCCTCTTTCAATAGTTGTTTTATTTTTTGTAACATTTTTACAACACACATACCTGTCATGTTCTTTCCCGTACTTGAGTACTTATTAAATTATAATGTTTTCATAGTCAGTTGTTTCATTTGTTTATTGATATCTAATGTAGACTTCTTCCTTCCCTACACCTTTGCAGATCTAAGACAAGATGAAAGTCAAAACACATTCTCTTCCTAATTAGTTTTTTTTCCACCTGCATTTTGTCAGACCAGTGAAGATCGGTGTAAACTGTACAATTTGTATGGACCCAAAGTTACCTTTTCCCATTGTTATCATGTCGTATAACCTTAATTAGAGCTCCTGCTCACCTGATGTCAGCTTCTCCCTCACCTGGAGTGCCTGTCTTGGGGCGTTGTTGGCACCTGCCCTGGTGCCATCAGGTAGGTGACCATTTGGCGTGCCCATCTCCATCCGGAGCGGCTCCTGGAATGCCCTCTGCAGGTAGTTGTGGAGAACAATTGGCCTTCATGCAGGCATCGACATTTGCGGGGCTGAGACCAAGCACTCTCCGATACATTCTCCACCGGGCTGCCAGAATCCCAAAGGTGCATTCAACAACTAACTTTGCCCTGGACTGTCGTTTGTTGAAGATCCTTACAGGCTTTGGCAATGGCAGCTGGCGTCCAGCGTAGGGCCTCATGAGGTTGGGTCTCAAAGTGAAGGCCTCGTCGCCGACGAACACGTGGGGAATGGGTCCCAGGTCTTCAGCCCCAGGGAGTGATGCAGGTGGTGGAATCTCCAGGGTGCCATCCTGAAGTGCCTGGCCGAAGGCAGAGTCCCGAGGGCGTCGCCATCACTTCCCTTGCCGTAAGCACCACCATCAATGATACGGAAACAGTAGATGGCATCTACAACAGCCAAGAGTACAACTGAATATGTACCCTTGTAGTTGTGGAATTGCGAACCTGAGCACGGTGGAGCCTGGATTACCAAGACAGTTGGGGAAATTCCACCTCTCCAGGAACTCGGCAGCGATGGCCCTCCAGTCTGCCTCCTTGGGGACAGGCATGTATTCGCCAACCAGACCAAAAAGGGTTCTACCTGGAGCCAAAAAGGGTTCTACCTGGAACCAAAAAGGGTTATCCTAATGGGGAAAGCAGAAGGACACTTTTGGAACCCTTTTTTCTAAGAGTGTACATGATTCCAATAATAATGTAATGAATGACTGTAACTGTTGAACAACAAGGGGTCCTGCAGAAGGCACCCCAAATGTATTTTCATTTGGTAACATTGCATCATTAAAAAAGGGTTTTAAACCAATTTTGGGAAAAGTTATAGTCCTAATGAACATTCTGTAAAAGTACATCTGATGTCACATAGGGGCTATTAACTAGAGAGCCCTTTTTTTTAGCTAGCTAGGTTGCACATAAAATATATCTAATATCAATCAATTACGGTATCAAAGGCTTTAAAAATTCACTTCAATTTAGCTTACCAGAGACAAATCGCCAGACGTTCAACTGGACTGATGGACTCCCGGTAGTTGGTATCCATCCTGGCGATCCTGGCTCCAACCGTCTGGACCGAAGCCAGTTCGATCACCTGCTCCAGATGGTTGGAGCCAGGATATATTATATGCTCTCACAATTAATTTGTAGATGTCATCGAATAAATAATATGTAAAGAAATTCTGCAGTCAAACTGTTGGTATTTATGTTATCCCACAATCTTTTTAACTGGATATGTGTGCAACCAAAATTCTACATTCACATTTTGATACTTTCTGCCAAGTCTACGCATACAATTTGATGCATACGTTCGATAAATCCAACGTATGCACAGTGTTGCCAACTTAGCGACTTTGTCGCTATATTTACAGAGTATTCAGACCCCTCTAGCGACTAGCGACAAATCTAGCAACTTTTTCTGGTGTTATTGGAGACTCTGACGTGAAAGCACCTATCGTTCTTACTCTTCTCAGCGAGCAGCGGGTGCTGCCGTGGAGGTGGGGGCCCCACCCCCGTCCCAAAGCACTCACAGGCGGCCCAGTCCTCCTTTTTACTCACTTTTTGTCTATCCCATGACTTACATGCACATGGCCAATAATGCAAATTAGGTGATGACGTCATTTAGCGACTTCTAGTGTCAAAGTCGCAACAATTCAAATCTGGTATTAGGAACAAAAGAGGTCAACACGACTTCTAAGATATACTAGTTATTTTAATTAATGCAAAAACCTTCAATGGTAAATATGATGTTTCGTATATACGGGCTCTCTGAGATACCTCGCAGGGCACCCCAGAGAACTAACCCATTGTTCTGGGTTCTTGCTCAAATACTCTGACAGAGGGAGTTTCCCACCTCTCTGCTGACCAATTAGAGTAGAGACTTGAGCGTGGTTTAGACTTACTCAGTCAATCCGTTGATGCATCTCTGTTACCAGGCATATGTCCATATCATAACAACCTGTCACAACCTGTCACCTGTCAACCTGTCAAGAGCCAGCTCCCTTAGCCACCATTCCTACGTCCAAGGAAGGTTCACAGATCACAAAGAACCAGTATATTCCAGCATCTGGAGACACAAATCCCTATCTCCCTTTACCCCCTAAAACAGCTCTTCACATCAATCACAGCTTGCCAGGTGTCACAACCTACATTAGCCCAGTCAAGAATGCATTCTTTCTAAGTTAGTCATCCCATCAATTATAAACATAATAAATCTCTCACACTAGCGACTTTTAGGACAGCCAATAGCTACTTTCCTTAATGAGGAGTTGGCAACTGCGGTATGCACCACACATAACGCACTGCAACTGCCTCTGCAACACAACGCTGCAAGGCAAACACAGCGTTCTATTGGAATTGAATGTATGAAAAAATTTATGCACTCACTAACTGTAAATCGCTCTGGATAAGAGCGTCTGCTAAATGACTAAAATGTACAAATGTAAATGAAAGGTTTACAAGATAATTGCAATCTGTGGTCCTCTGTAGCTCAACTGGTAGAGCACGGCGCTTGTAACGCCAATATAGTGGGTTCGATCTCCGGGACCACCCATTCACAAAAATAAATAAAAATATGCCCGCATTACTGTAAGTCGCTTTGGATAAAAGCGTCTGCTAAATGGCAGAATATTATTACAGTCATAATAGCATTCAGGGCGACTAAAATGACAATAATTAATTTTTTGAGGTTACCTGGCACACTCATCAGTGCACCTTATAGTGGCCCTGCTTAACACCCAGTCACTCAGACAAATCGGACAATCTAGGATAGGAAATCACTATAAATATTTTAAAGTTTGTTTATTTATTTGATATACATTTTATTCCCGTTTTTATAGATGGGTGATCACGTGTCGAGGGTCAAGTTTGTAAACCACGTGACGGAGCTATCTGTGGTGTCAAAGTGGAAAAGACACAGGTAAATTCCGAGTCTCTCGCTTATTGTCTGCGCGAGTCGGTTCGGCATAATTCCTCATACAAGTGCATTATTCTAGGGTTGTGAGGTTTCATTTCGTCGAAATCCGACTAGGAGGTCGACAGAGAGACCGCGTGGTCGGTTGTATAGCAGAATATAAGACATTCATCTGGGTTTCTGGTCAGTATCGCATGTTATTTATTTTCCTTATTTTGGGCCTACGGGCCTACATAGAGCCTCGGTGTCGTGTTCATACAAACACCCATCGGTAGCTTTCCCAACGGCGGCGCGTTGGTTGATGCTGCATAGTGCAACTTGTAATGTGATTTGTGAGTTAGTTACCACGTTAATGTGCAGCCTATGCGTTTGTGGGCTCACTAATAGGCGGTACGAATAACCATGTTTTCCAATTAGGGTAACTGTGATGATTTGAATGGTTGAGAGACAAAATCTAGCTAACTGCGATGGCTGTTAGTCAGTCTTCTCTTCGCCATGAGGTTGAGAAGAACGGAATCTCATCGACAAGTTCGACCAGGCTGGATGGATGTAACCTAAAAATGACATAACATCTTAGCAAACTAACAGTTAGTCAATAATGTTATGTTTACGAAGCAAATTATATTTATTTAAAGACCGGACGTTAGCTAACTAATGGGTTTTAGTGAAATAATACTAATGGAGTTTATGTAACGTTAGCTAACAAGCTGGAGAGACTTACGAATCGCTAGCTAACGTTAGCTAAATAAAACCATGTTGTGAATGTCAAATCCAGAGCGATGTGTGTTGCATCGTTCACTAGTAGACTCCATTAAAATATATGCTAAGTTAGTTGGCTAACAAGTTACCATAGTAGTTACAGTATCTTGTTAGCTAGCCTCCGCTAACAAGCTACCATAGTAGCTACAGTATCTTGTTAGCTAGCCTCCCAGCAAATGTGTGCCAAATAAATGTAATTTGCTAGATCTCAATTAGCTAAAGTAGCTAGCGAACTCAAATTTAATCGGACCCTATTTGCATATACTAAAGCTAACTTATCTCCCAAGTAAAGTTAACTAACTAGCTATATAACTTTAGTTGGCCAATTAGCTAGCAAGAACCAAATTGTTTAAAATTAGGTAACGTTAGGCTAGCTAACCATCTCTTTGAATAGGTCGTTACCACAGCCACAAAGTCATAAACCCCGCCTATTTCTACAAAAACTCTAATTTAAAATAGATACACAAGGCGAGGTGGTGCTTAACGTAACCTTTTTTTTTTTTTTTTACACGCCCTGAGTAAGGTACCACCGTAGGGTACTCTCATTACTCCTATGATAAATTGCATACTCTACTCATAACCCGACAATTATAAAAATAAATCATTTTGTAAACATTCTGGGCATGTTTGGTTGGTCATTTTTAACATACTTTTATGACGTTTTAATCGACAAACTACATCATACCTAAAAACACTTTTGTTCAGCCGTTATTTATGGGGAAAGAATGGGGTTTTAGGATAAATGCAGAAAATATGGTCTGAGGCTAACAAGTTTAGGAGATCTTATACATTTTGTTCTATGAGATAATATCAGTCTGTTAACATGACCTTTCATGAATTATGAAGCCTTTATGTGCTTTTTAAAATTACTTAAATGCTTCAAAATTCACAAAAAAAGGACGTTAGAGGATGAAGACTCTCATAGAACAAAATGTATAAGGTCTCCTAAGCTTGTGTTTACCACATACATATTTTTGGTGTTTATCCAAAACCTCTACAAAAACGGCATTCATTTCCACAAAGGACTTAGTGCCTACAAAAAGACGCCATTACTATTTCTCTCGATTGCCAGGGTCTTCACGATACTTCGGTGGCAATACGATATGTATTATGATTATATATTTATGGCAATTTTAGATGTTCCAAACGTATTGCTCACCGTATGTCTTCTGCAGAGGGACAAGAGAGCCATGAGAAAACGAGTTTTGAAGTGCTGAAAACAGTGGCTCCTTATTTAAAAAGATGGAGAACAAGCTACGAAGGAAAACTACTGGAGCAAAATTCATATTGCGATGTTGCCAATACGATATATCGTCTAAAATAATACCTGTATGTAACTATCGATTCCCATCACATCACGATTTAACCTTTTGACACGTACCAACAAACGGGTGTGATCTATATTTTGATATCCAATTGGTAGTTAGTCTTGTCCCATCGCTGCAACTCCTGTATGGACTCGGGAGAGGCGAAGGTTGAGAGCCATGCGTCCTCCGAAACACGACCCTGCCAAGCCGCACTGCTTCTTGACACACTGCCCACTTAGCCCGGAAGCCAGCCACACCAATGTGTCGGAGGAAACGCCATACAACTGGTGACCGAAGGCAGCGTCCTTGCGCCCGGCCCGCCACAAGGAGTCGCTAGAGTGTGATGGGACAAGGACATCCCGGCCGGCCAAACCCTCCCCTAACCCGGACGATGCTGGGCCAATTGTGGGCCGCCTCATGGGTCTCCCGGTCGTGGCCGGCTGCGACACAGCCTGGGATCGAACCCTTAGACCGCTGCGCCACTCGGGTGGCGGGTGTGATCATTCTACAGTGGTCCCTGCAGCGTCTGCTCAAACCGGTGTGATTAGAACGTCCAGTTTCGATTGACGCAACAGTCAGCATTTGAGCTGGCCACACTTTTTTTCACAAACATTTCACACAAACAGTCCTTACATACTCATGTCCTGAATGTGACCTGTTTATTTTGGGATGCAATGTTCAGACATTCACAGAAGTAGTGGCAGCATAACACAATAATCAAAACCGGAAAATGTCCTAGCTTTAACTGAGGAAAGATTGACGTAACACAAGCGGTCATATTTAGATAACTCTCGGCTGACAGAAAACACTATGAATTAGCTAATAGCAATTACTATTCATCACATCACGGGTGAGCTTACCATTGATCAAAATAATTGAGTAGAACACTTTCTAGAAATCTAAAGTAATCCGACGATGGGTAGTTTGTGCGTGCCGCCATGTTTGTTTTTTCGCGTCAACCAAAGATAATAAGAGGAGACAAGATGAGTATGGTCTGTTTGCAGTATGCATGTTGAAGGGGGTGTGTCGTCTAACGATCATTCACTTCCCTTCATTCCCTTTCGGAAGTTTACTCAAAATGAGTGAATCTGTTTTCGCTTCGTCATTATGGAGTATTGTGTGTAGATTGATGATTAAATAATAATTTAATCAATTTCAGAATAAGGCTGTAACGTAACAAAGTGGAAAAAGGGAAGGGGTCTGAATACTTTCCGAATGCACTGTATGTATGTATGTATGTATGTTGGTTGTAGTGTGTGTATGTAGTGTGTGTATACAGTGTGCATTTGTAAAAGAGTCCTAGGTCTCGGTCTTTCCTGTTAAAATGAAGGTACAAAATTATTGCTGCAGGAGGGCAAAAATGCATCTAACGATGCACTTAGCTGTTCTACGAGAGGTCTGAGGCAGGCGTTTTTTTCAAGTGCAGTGTTAATAATGATTGTTTTGGGAAACTGCTCAGATATTTAACGATGCTCCTAAGAACGTTCTAACGATGAACTGAAGAAGCTTTTGGGAAACCGGGCCCAGGACCTTTACCAAATTACTATCTATGCACTATTCCCAGTTCTCGGGTTAAACAATGTGTTTTTGGGGGGTAAGGTTATATTTGCTCCCCAACCATCATGTAAAATATGCGCATTAACAATTGCTATTGAATATGGGGGAAAATGCACCAAATGCTTTTTAAAATCTTCAACATAGAAATGGTACCAAAAATAATTTACTGAAACTGATTACAAATGATGGAGTCAACCATGATTCACCAAATTATATTTTAAAGGATGAAGCAAAGTACTTTAAACAAATGTTTTCGTTTCAGTCGCCTCCATCTCCTGTAACTGAAGCTAATTGTATGGATTTATTTTCTATTGATAATGTCAACTTTACAGCCATACAGAAAGAAGCTAATTGTATGGATTTCTTTTCTATTGATAATGTCAACTTTACAGCCATACAGAAAGACTCATGTGAAGGTGAAATTACAGAGGAGGAACTTCTGGATGCAATTAAAGACTTTAAGTCAGGGAAAACTCCAGGGTTGGATGGCATACCAGTTGAGGTATACCAAACCTTTTTTGATATACTCAGAGGACCGTTATTAGCATGTTTTAACCACTCCTATGTAAATGGTAGATTATCAGACACTCAAGAAGGTCTGATTTCATTATTACTGAAACTGGATACAATTGGGAAATATAAAGATCCAGTCCATAAAAAAAAAAAATGGAGGCCCCTTACACTTCAGTATCGTGATGCGAAATGTATAGTGCATAGAATTAAAAAGGTGTTGTCGGACATTATTCATTCTAATCAGACAGGTTTTTTACATGGACGATACATTGGAGATAATATAAGGCATGTACTGGAAACAATAGAACACTATGAAAATCAGGGAAACCAGGCCTGCTATTCATAGCTGACTCTGAAAAGGCTTTTGTTAAAGTACGACTGGAGTTTATATATAAATGCCTGGAGCATTTCAATTTTGGAGAATCTCTTCTAAAATGGGTTAAAATCATGTATAGTAACCCTAGGTGTAAAATAGTAAATAATGGCTATTTCTCACAAAATGTTAAACTGTCAACAGGAGTAAAACAAGGTTGTCCACTATCGGCATATCTATTTATTATGGCCATCGAAATGTTAGCTATTTAAATCTGATCCAACAATAATATAAAGGCATTAGAAATCCAGGGCTTAAAAACAAAGGTGTCATTGTACGCTGATGATTCATGTTTTCTTTTAAATCCACAACTAGAATCCCTCCACAGCCTCATAGAGGATGTAGATAGATTTTCTAACCTCTTTGGATTACAACCAAATTATGATAAATGTACTATATTACGTATTGGATCACAAAAAAATACAATTTTTACATTAGTGTAGTTTACATATAAAATGGTCTGATGGTGATGTGGATATACTCGGAAAACATATTCCTAAATAAATGATCTCACTCCAATACATTTTATTAGAAAGTTAGCAAAAAAAGATAAGATCTTGCTACCATGGAAAGGTAAATACTTGTCTATTTGTGGAAAAATCACCCTTATTAACACGTTAGTATTATCCCATTTTACCTATTTGCTTATGGTCTTGCCTACGCCTAGCGAACATTTATTTATTTTTTATTATGAGAAAGAATATTCAATTTTATTTGGAACAGCACGCCAGACAGAATTAAACGGGCCTATTTATATAATGAATATAAATTTGGAGGACAGAAATTATTAAATATTAAAGCATTAGACCTATCACTAAAAGCTTCAGTCATACAAAAGTTATACTTAAATCCGAACTGGTTCTCTAGCAAATTAGTAAGATTGTCTCACCCCATGTTCAAGAATGGCCTTTTACCCTTTATTCAGATTACAACCACTCTCTTTCATTTATTTGAAAAGGAAATCATCTCCCAAATATCACTATTTCTAAAACAAGCCATAGATAGTTGGCTGCAGTTTCAATTTAATCCTCCAGAAACTCCAGAACAAATAATTTAACAAATATTGTGGTTAAACTCAAATATACTAATTGATAAATAAAAAAGTATACCAGTTTCATTTAAGGACCAAAGGATTGACAGCTGTCTCATATAGATTGCAAAATAGTTGGGAAGAGATTTTTGACGTACCGATTCCATGGCAAATGGTTTATGAACTGATACGCAAAACGACGCCAGATTCAAAACTTAGAATTTCCATTAAAATTATTATACAAAATTCAACCAATATAATGTTATCCATATGGGGGACACAATCTTCCCATCTCTGCAGATCTTGCTGCGAAGAGACAGAATCATTAGATCATTTGTTTTGGTACTGTCCATTTGTAGGTCCAGGAATGGCTGAAGGATTGCAATATTTACCTGGAGCTAACCCTGCAGATAGCACTACTGGGTGATCTGAAAAGTCAGTCAATCGATCAATAATATAATAATACTTTTAGCAAAAATGTTTATTTTCAACATCACAGTACAGTTGAGAAATATATGGCATGTAGAATTCCAATATGGATGGTGTTAAGAGATAGATGGGAGGGGTTGAATTGAGCTGAAGGTTGGGACTAATAACTAATAACAAAATAACTAATGTAAAACATACTGTGTCCATAATAAGTATATATGTTGAGAACTTTTGTGAAAGAGCAGTTTAGGGGATATGGCATGTAGAGGCAAACCGGATGGACATCATGAAAATGATTGGAGAGGTTGAGGAAGTTCAGGAGTAAAAACTAACTAAATATAATTATTGTAAAATTGACTCTGTCTGTAAAATGTATATAGTATGTATAAGCTGGAAGTAGAGGCCTAAGCGTTGTTGTTCACTAGTTTACCCCAATTGGGGGAGGGGTGGTGGGGTTGGAAAGTAAAGGAAAATACATTTAAAAAAAGGTAATGAGAATTTGACACAGAACCCCTCTCCCACCTTTCTCAGGTATTATTCCTTTGTAAATACTGTTATTTGTATATACTGTAAATGATGACGTCGGTGGGCGGAAACCGAGCCTGCGGCAGCTGGGAGCAGCAGACGCAGACAGGCCAGACACAGCACAAGCAGAGACCTCAGGTTGGTACCCTGCGCTCAACCCTTCTGCCCACACTGGATGTCATGCACTTAGTTACCCCACACACTGACCCAACAGCTGATTCTTTGGTTCCAGGGCCTAAAATTAAGTGTTTGGTCCACCAGCCACTGTGGCAAGTAGATGGAAAAATCTACCAGCCACTCTGATATTTTAAATTTTGTTTTACCAGCCAAAATATTTTTTCGTTATAATTAGCACCCAAAAAAAGACCATGCTTAATGTTTCTAAAACAAAAAATGTATTAGTTGGAAGTATTGTGATATATTGCTCAATTTATTTACATTTTGTAACCAGAGTCTAAACTAAAATATCAGAACATTTTTCAGCTGACACTTTAAAGGCAGGAGGTTACTGTGGTAATGGGGCCACTCAAGTTGTCAAGTGTCTGTGTGAGATTTTGGATCTGACTAGTAGTAGACAGCATCTCTTCGCTATCAGTTGAAGCAGCAGACTCAAACTAACATTGAAAAACAACCAACCTTGTGAACAAAACAATGTAAATAGTAAGGATGATCTAATTAAGTCGATTTGTCGACAGGCTGTTGGTCAACTGAGATTTCTTTAGTCAAGCAGTCGCAATTTATTTTAATTTTTTCCATGGTGCACAAGACACCTGTCTGATTCGCGCCTGTCTCAGTGGACTAATCCATTGTGGAGGCCATGGGGAGGGCACAGTCCATCACTCTAAGGCAGGGTTTCCCAAACTCGGTCCACAGGACACTAAGGGGTGCACGTTTAGATTTTTGCCCTAGCATTACACAGCTGATTCAAATAATCATCAAGCTTTCATCATTTGAATCAGCTATGTAGTGTTAAGGCAAATAACAAAACATGCAGCCCTGGGGGTCCCAAGAACTGAGTTTGGGAAATGCTGCTCTAAGGCATGTGATACAGAAATGGTATATGGTTATATAATGTACAGTGAGGGGAAAAAAGTATTTGATCCCCTGCTGATTTTGTACGTTTGCCCACTGACAGACATGAGCAGTCTATAATTTTAATGGAAGGTTTATTTGAACAGTGAGAGACAGAATAACAACAAAAAAATCCAGAAAAACGCATGTTAAAAATGTTATGAATTGGTTTGCATTTTAATGAGGGAAATGAGTATTTGACCCCTCTGCAAAACATGACTTAGTACTTGGTGGCAAAACCCTTGTTGGCAATCACAGAGGTCAGACGTTTCTTGTAGTTGGCCACCAGGTTTGCACACATCTCAAGAGGGATTTTGTCCCACTCCTCTTTGCAGATCTTCTCCAAGTCATTAAGGTTTCGAGGCTGACGTTTGGCAACTCGAACCTTCAGCTCCCTCCACAGATTTTCTATGGGATTAAGGTCTGGAGACTCCAGGACCTTAATGTGCTTCTTCTTGAGCCACTCCTTTGTTGCCTTGGCTGTGTGTTTTGGGTCATTGTCATGCTGGAATACCCATCCACAACCCATTTTCAATGCCCTGGCTGAGGGAAGGAGGTTCTCACCCAAGATTTGACAGTACATGGCCCCGTCCATCGTCCCTTTTGATGCGGTGAAGTTGTCCTGTCCCCTTAGCAGAAAAACACCCCCAAAGCATAACGGTGGGGATGGTGTTCTTGGGGTCATAGGCAGCATATCTCCTCCTCCAAACACGGCGAGTTGAGTTGATGCCAAAGAGCTCGATTTTGGTCTCATCTGACCACAACACTTTCAACCAGTTCTCCTCTGAATCATTCAGATGTTCATTGGCAAACTTCAGATGGGCCTGTATATGTGCTTTCTTGAGCAGGGGGACCTTGCGGGCGCTGCAGGATTTCAGTCCTTCACGGCGTAGTGTGTTACCAATTGTTTTCTTGGTGACTATGGTCCCAGCTGCCTTGAGATCATTGACAAGATCCTCCCGTGTAGTTCTGGGCTGATTCCTCACCGTTCTCATGATCATTGCAACTCCACGAGGTGAGATCTTGCATGGAGCCCCAGGCCGAGGGAGATTGACAGTTATTTTGTGTTTCTTCCATTTGCGAATAATCACATCAAATGTTGTCACCTTCTCACCAAGCTGCTTGGCGATGGTATTTTAGCTCATTCCAGCCTTGTGTAGGTCTACAATCTTGTCCCTGACATCCTTGGAGAGCTCTTTGGTCTTGGCCATGGTGGAGAGTTTGGAATCTGATTGATTGATTGCTTCTGTGGACAGGTGTCTTTTACACAGGTAACAAGCTGAGATTAGGAGCACACTCTTAAAGGGAGTGCTCCTAATCTCAGCTTGTTACCTGTGTAAAAGACACCTGGGAGCCAGAAATCTTTGATTGAGAGGGGGTCAAATACTTATTTCCCTCATTTAAAATGCAAATCAATTTATAACATTTTTGACATGTGTTTTTCTGGATTTTGTTGTTGTTATTCTGTCTCTCACTGTTCAAATAAACCTACCATTAAAATTATAGACTGATCATTTCTTTGTCGGTGGGCAAACGTACAAAATCAGCAGGGGATCAAATACTTTTTTCCCTCACTGTAGAAATAATGGTGCAACACTAATAAATTGAATATTATTTTATAACACATGCGCCTTCTCCCGCGTTGGATACGGTCGCTGTTTGTGGTTCTGAAACACTCTTCAGTGAGCCGTAGAATTGGCGCCTTTCTCCATGTTGCTACAATATATTAATTGTTATAGCTTGATTGTGATGGAAGAGCTACATGTGGTACCTAACCAATACGTAATGGGTGGATAAACGACTGTCATTGAGATGGCATAAGACACTTTTTAAAAGGCTATTTGTGGTCACCCTTTCTCCACACAGGCCACTGCTGAGCAGATCCGACTCGCGCAGATGATTTCGGACCACAATGATGCTGATTTTGAAGAAAAAGTTAAGCAGGTGAGAACATGGCTCACCCTTCATCACATGTAGCATCCCAGCACCCTTTTAGACCCTTTTTGCTGCCTGAAGGGAGGACCGTTACATTAGTGTACATTCAAAGTTCTAGAAGTGTCCTTACTTGTAGCATCAAACCACCTTTAGCCTCTTTTTTTGCTCTGGTCTGGTAGCTAGAGCTTAGGTTTACTTCATTGCTTAAAGTATAAATGCATCAAATAAATGTTCCATAACCCTTTACACTTGTGGGAATTGGCCTATAAGGATAGGGCTACATTGAAATGTTTCTTACTGAATAAATATGAGTAGCATATACATAAGCATGGTAGCAATTAAAAGGGAACAGTTTGGAGATTATCGTAAAATGATTAGACCAAAATTGACGACAACAGGTTCACCTGACACGAGACTGAATCCAAACATTACTGTTGATTTTATGTGCATTTTACATTTACTGTACTTTTTGCCGCATTTGTTAACGAAATCTAGAAATACTAGAATATTCCTGGAGAATGTGGGGTAAGTGCAACATAAGACAAACAAAATTACAATGGTTTGACAGAGGACTAACTGGTGTCTGTGGCCATACACTTCTAAGTAATTACAATGCACTTTTATGACTCAAATAATATTTTTTGAGCGCTCCTAGCTGTGCCATTGAGGAACTAGAGCAAGCACACTTGTAATTTTGTTTGGGGGACACTACATCACTCTAATGTTTACGCTATCCAAAAATGGCCCATTTTTTAAATCACAATCTGAGTCAGGTGGGCACCATTTGAAAGGTTGTTCTATTGCCAACATGACTTGCTAAATTATACAATACGATCTTACAGTTTTAGGCTTTCACAGGTGTTTGACTTGCTTGTATGACATCAAAGTGGTATTTATTATAATCCTCAACATCATCTTTCAAAAGACATAGTCCTCTTAATTTACAGCATTTCCCTCACTCAAATGTACAATAGTTGCCTTTTTAGTGGGAGGGATGGTGGTAACTTATTGTAGTGTGTGGTGTTCAGAATGGCTGTCAGTCAAAACCCATACAGCGCTGTGAAGTGCAGAGCCTGAGATCTGACATTTTATAGCTTGTTACTTTACAGCCTCTGTGTTTCAATTTAAGCGCTTATTAGTTCCCAAATCTGCCATTTTCAAACCGTATTATGAGTACGAGTGTAAAGGGCTATGTTGCAATATACTCACTGAAGATTGTGTTATCCGTTACCCCCTGTCCAGCTGATTGACATCACAGGCAAGGACCAGGATGAGTCTATGATCGCACTGCACGACTGCAACGGGGATGTCAACAGAGCCATCAACGTGTTGCTGGAGGGTAGCCCAGATACTGTGAGTTTGGCCTGTGTGAGGGCTTAGTAGTTGGGCCAAAGGGAGGGAGTAAAAAGGTTACCCATCCAGCTAACTACAGGGAGAATTCTAACTTCAAATTTTCACTTATCTCCCACTGACATGAATGCATACCTAAGTGAAAATTCGACTTAAAATGGAAGTTAGGATTCGCCACTAACATAATCAAAGTGAACCCTGTATGTTACCTCACCTCTCCTCAGGACTCTTGGGAGATGGTGGGGAAGAAGAAAGGAGTGTCCGGTCAAAAGGAGCCTGGCCATGCCGAGACCGGAGAGGAAGGAAAGGAGAACCGGGATAGGGGAGCGGAGAGGGACGTGGCACGTCGTCGAGGTGGGGCCCCACGCAGGGGCAGAGGGGCTAGCAGGGGACGAGAGTGTGAGTAGAAATCACATGCCTTTGCATTAGGGTCATGGGAAGTGACGCTGGCACACCAGTAGACCCTTCGTAGCGCCTGCCCATTCTCACCTTAGGTTTCTGAAAAATATGTTTAACTTCAAACGCCATTTCTGACTCCACACACGTTTTCCCTCACTACCTCTAATGTAATGCGGCCTCCCTCTCCTCTCAGTCCGTGTACAGGAGAATGGTCTGGATGGAGGAAAGGCTGCTGGGATAGCAGGCAGGGGCACAGAGCGAGGCCACAGGGGGCGGGGCAGAGGAAGAGGTAAGTCCCTCCATCTTTGGCAAGAGCTGTTTGTTGGACTCCTGAAACAAGGTCCCAACATAAACTAAAGTTAATGCCCCCTCTAGTGTGTCAAATATGTCATAGCATTCCAGGGCCACTAACTTTTTCAGTTGGTGGCACCAGTCCATGATTTTGTCAGGAATGCATGATTCAAGATATTTTGATGTGCACCCTATTCTAGTGATTGTCATAAATATTGGGTTGACAATTAGGCTGCTATATTTTACTGTCAAAATAGGGCTCCAAAATGTTCTGACTTTTGTAGTTCAATAGAGATGAATTTGCCTACATCTTTATGTTCACTAATATCACATAGGCTAATTAATTTGGGGCTAATTCAACAACCTGAGAAAGTAGAAACTCAAAACACATGCGTTAGATCGCTAACTCTAAATAAATATAATACCTACTCCTAGTAGCCATGTATTAATCATCTATAACAGTACATTTCAGGCCTATATGCACTCAACGTGCAGCTTGCACCGATTAGACCAATTAAACATTTTACTCTCACAGCCAAGTCAAAGGGTTGCAAAATGCGACTAAATGGTTGCCGTCGGGCGCCGTGCATTCTCTGTAGTGCGCTTAATACAATTTTAATGTGCATTCAAGACGGCAAATGTTCCTCAAGGGACAATGCATTGTATTTTCTGTAGTGGAATTATTTTGTCAGTAGTGTAACTTGTTTGTCCCCCTAGGGGGAGAACGGGAGCGAGGCAGGCGAGGGGGCAGGTTTTCGGCGCAGGGCATGGGGTAAGTGAACACATCTGCTGCTCACAGAGAATGAATTATGTTCCCTCTTACCTTTTGCCATGGTCACCAGAGAGCAGGACCTGGCCCATTTTTAAAAGGCTTAATCCAATGGAGGAAGAATATAAATCGGCCAAATCATGTTGAAATGCGTGGGCTGTAGATAAACCCTTATGTAACTCAGAGTTCCTCTGAGCTCTTGTCTCTGAATATCGGATTTGCATTCAAGTCAGATATTGGTAGACCCCATACCATACATGTAACTCAATGGGTAGGCATTGAGATTGTTGCACATAGGGTTCTGCTCTCGGTGACTCTGACATGGTGTGTTCTTGTTCTTTGTCCTTCCCTTTGGGTTAAATGGAGCACCGGTTTGTGTGTGAGTTGTATGTTTTGTCTGTCAGTATGCATTGCCTCTTACCCAACCCTGGTCATTGAGCACCCTAGATGTCATATATACTATATATTTTTGATTGATTTGACGAGGCTCACAGTGACGAGATTGTAAGCAGCCCTTTAAACCGGCTTTGATAATGAGTAGTATCAAATTCCAGCCCTTTAAACCGGCTTTGATAATGAGTAGTATCAAATTCACTCAATAAGACATATTACTATATATTTTATGTCACTTGGTATATAATTAGTAACACATAGTTGGCTATATAATTCCTCTTAGGTGTTAGGGCTAGCATTAATCCCCAGTGAGATGACACAGCCTACTATTTCTAGGGTTGTCAAAGACCAGGCTTTGTGGGGTTTAGATGAGTGGGCGCTGCTAGTGTGGGCTCTTTCCCAGGGGTGCAGCAGGTTGAAACGCTTCCTCAAAGACGAACCTGCATGTTAATTCCATCCCTTTGAAATAATGAATGGTGATTTTTATGTCTGAAGCACCTGGTTTGTTGGACATGAAAGAAAGATGAACTGATCATAAAATGTGAGAATTGTGTTTTAATGGCTACTTCAACTGCATCAGTCCTTTCATTTTAACAAGTTGAAACAAATTATTATTCTACAGTTTAATAGGGATACGTTAGAGGAGAGGGCAAATGCGTTTGCTGTGGCAGAACGGCTCCAGTCAGCCGGCGTGTATGTGTGCGCAAGTTTGGCTTGGTCTGGATAGCGACTAACCTGGAGCGCGAGTGAGCCAGCGCAATAGGCTTGCGTAGACGGACAGCCAGGCAGATTGTGTTGCGTTGTCCCCAACATGTCACTCTTAGTGTGTTGCTTCCGCTGCTGCTCTTGTGGCCTTTGGGAGCCTGTGTTTGCATGAGTGTGTTCTGTTGGTTTTAACTGTGCTTCCTCTCCTGATCATAATGCAATTATTGTTACTTATGGAACACAGTTTTCAGTTTTCAGTGTTTGTTTGGCAGCCCTGTTTTCCCCTTTGTAGTCAACCAGCTACACCTATAGAAAATGACTGCCTCAACAATGCAGTGTTCACAGATGTGTGTTGCAAGAGTGTAGTGACTTGTCCATGCATGTGATTTCCATACATTCCTCTGTAAAATAATGAATAGTCTAAAACCACACACTGCATCCCCATCTGTCCCCGTTGTGCTGCTTGTAATCGTTGCTGTTGTTTTTCCTCTAAAGCCAGATTGATAAGGGGCCCAGATATGATTTTTCAGGAGATGAGAGGTGAGTGCACCGCCACTGGTGTTAGTGTGTCAATCTTGCTATCTGTTGGGGGGATCATTCTGCCAAATGCCATGAGGGAAGGATGGAGATAGACACACAGGAAACAGGGTATCAGGGCAGATGAAACCAAAATGAAGTGCACCCTGGTAAAACGATATGGAATTAAATGACAGCTGTCTCTTGAACATTGAGGGTAAACCTGTTGACACAAGCGACATAAGAAATCAAATGAACGTTTATTGGTCGTTTACAGAGTTTGGCAGGTGTTATAGCGGTGCATTGAAATGCCTATGTTACTAGCTCTTAACAATGCAGTCAAATGTCAATGTATAAGGGGTGGAAACAAGACAAAGGCAATAAATCAAGAATGGCGGGACTAATCCGATTAACAACCCAAATAGCACTGTAGTAGTATCAAAATTAAATCTATGGATCTCTACACTGGGGAATTTACACAAGCTAAACTAAAATACAATGTACAGTAGTATAAATATATTACAATACGCTATGTCGGGGATACAGTATTTAAATGCACTGTGTTAAACTGGTGTGACCAGTGGTTCAATCAAGAGTCCTTCCCTGCCGATCTACAGCACCCCTGTTATCGTTGGTTCTCATCGGGAGCTAGTCAAACATGAATAGTCTGAATTCCAGTCAGATCCTGAAAACTGCTGAAGTCAGTCTACTGAACTGCACTAGGTTGTACTGCACTATTTTGTACTGCACTGTACAACTTGTGTGCCTGAGCCTGAAAGAAGCAAGAGAACAGTTATTTGAAGGATGTGTGCTTTTCTATAATTGTCTCTGAAGCCATGCCGTGAAATGATGCGTCGAAAGACATTGTTTTTTTACCACCAATCACAGTGCCAGAGAAAGAGTTGAGGAAAAATAAAGCACTGCCTGCCCATTCCTTGGTTGTCCTCCTAAAGTATCTTTGAATCTGTCATCCTGACATTTCTCAGATGAATGTTGTCTAGCTGCTACACATCAGATCTCATCAATCACTTCCTCTATCTCGCTGCTTACTTACTTCCTCCTTTTACAGTATACCCCCCCCCCCCCAGTCAAATATTCCAGTTGGTAGAGGCATAGGAAGTGGTTCTGCTCAAAACCACGGCTTCTTCTCTCTCGCAGAACGTTCAACCCGGCGGACTACGCTGAGCCTACCCAGACAGAGGAGAGCTACGGCGGGGGAAGCACCTGGAACAACACGGGAAACCTGGAGTCAGAGGAAGGACCCAGTAAGGAACCCAGCTACTGCTCAGCCCCAGTCCAAAACCACACAACCTAGGCCTAGACACTTCATTTATCTCTGCAAGATGGTGTATTACCAAGATGGTGGAAAGTCCAGCTAGCTTATCTAGAGGCAGAGGAAGGAGCCATTAATAATAATAATAATAATAATATGCCATTTAGCAGACGCTTTTATCCAAAGCGACTTACAGTCATGCGTGCATACATTTTTGTGTATGGGTGGTCCCGGGGATCGAACCCACTACCTTGGCGTTACAAGCGCCGTGCTCTACCAGCTGAGCTACAGAGGACCAGAAACCAAGCTAGTGCCATTAAGAAACCAAGCTAGTGCCTAGTCCAAAAACACCTGCCTATACACTTCCTGTAGGCCTGAAAGTATCAGAAAGATGGGTGTAGGCAAGATGGTGGAGGGTTAGACGGTGGTCTAGTTGTTAATAACTGGTAACTCTCCATGGGGTCTGATATTACTTAATTTGCTGGTCTTGGAAATGATTTGAGGGGTATAGTACAATGCAAGCTAGATCTACTCAGGGTTTTCTAAAGCTAGCCAGCTTCAGTTAGCTTAACATTCCAGCTCAGACTTCATCCGTACTACGACGGTGGATATTGCTTGTCCGCCTGCTGCTAACTCTAGCAGGCTTGTAATGGGCGTGCATGTGGCTAGTTGAACACCAAACTCTTGAGACCATGCTGAAGCATCAATTCATTGGCGACTCAGTGACACATTTTCATTTGTGCCGAAATCAAAATGAAAGAAAAGTTATCTTGCAAATTCAGCAGGCTATGGTGTGAAATAGGCTTTTAGAAGTGCCATCTTTATTTTACTACTTATCATTAATGCAGTCTTTGGTGTATTTAACAATGCACAAGCACCTTTTTCCCCACTATTGATAAAATAATTGCATTAAATCAGACAAAAGTGTTACTTTGTGTGAAGTTTCAAATGCATTCTGTCATTACTAAATGTGTAATATGATTTAATTTTAATAGGGGTGTTACGGTTCTGGATATATTGTGGGTTTTGGTACAGCGGGAAAATTAAATGCCATTCATAATGTTCAGCTTTCAAAATGTTCCTTGCATTGTCTGTTGTGACCGGATCGTTATGTTGTGCCTCAAGTTTCCACTCTCATGCTGCATTTGTAACCATGTGGGAGGTGGGAAATAACCAGTTGTGAAGTCGTAAATACAAGTTGAATGCATTCATATGATTTGAACTAGTTGAGAAACCATATGGCGCCAACGATAAACTAAAAGTACAGCTATCATGCGTGTAAACAAATTACAGTTCAAAACCAACATTAATAGATTGGTTTTTATAAATGTTTTGTTGCATTTAACTGCCAAAAATGCTGTTCTAGGGGCCATTTCCTTAGTAGGTGACTTCAGAGGTCACCATGTGGGAGAAATGGGTGCTCAGGATGATAGACGAGTTTCCCACTAGTAATTACCAGTTTGAGGGCTGTTCAAGTTGATCTTCTCAAGTCGTATGTGGTAAATTTCCACTTGGTTACGAACACACCATGACACTGTCTCCTTCAGTGTCAGATGCGCACTTGTGACTCAAAGGGGGCATGTCTGTTTTTTTTGGTAAATGTTTTTTATGTATTCATTCGGGTTCACAGTCCGAACCGAAGTCCCCTTACCGAACTGTTCGGTACGAATACGTGTACCTTTACACCTCTTTTAACGTTATTATTTTTTAAAGCTCAAAATAAAATTGGAGTAATAAAATATTTAATCAGTCTTCCTCAAATTAAGGGGATGATGACTCATTCTTAGCAGGAGGGAGGGAATCTGATTTAATTGCTCCTCAACTCGCAGCTCAGACTCTTGATTCAGAAAAAATGAAGTTAGCCTAGAGTTAGCCTGCCCTGGAGCAGGTTAGTTCTGAAGGATTCGTTGCCATAGAAATGTACTTGGCTTAAAGGTGAGCTACTTTCGTGGTACCGGTTATCCCGAGTTGAACTCAGTTTACCAAAGTTATCTCGCTAACGCCTCAAGCCCGGTACGTAGTATACCCCTAGTCTTACCACGTCTCACTTCTCCTTTCTTGTAGGGATTGAGTACTCTGCGAGAGGAGAGGGAACAAATTACCAACCCAAGTTTGACTCTGCCCCTTGTAAGATTGAACCTCCTTCTTATGAGGCCCTACACATCACATCTCCTTTTTTGTTTCAAGCCTGGTCGGTTTGAAACCTATTACTCAGTGTATATTTTTCTTTACATTCGTATAGGTGCCTGGAGGAGCGTGTCAGAAGAGTGGGGTACTGAGGACTGGAATGAGGACGTGAGTAACTTTACAATGCCTATTTATTGATTTGGTGGTATGCCTATTTTGTTGTGTGTGTGACTTATTGATGTACTGTCCATATTTTGGCAGATCTCATCTTTTGACCAGAAAACCCCCCAGAAAAAATGACAATCACATTATGTATGTTTCTGCATACGACGACAAAGTATTCATGCACCTTGACTTATTTAATTTTTTTTTTACAGCCTGAATTCAAAATGGTTCAAATTGATTATTTTTTTTCTCTCCCATCAACATACAGTACCCCATAATGACAAAGTAAAAACTTGTTTTTAGAAATGTTTGCTCCTTTTTTGAAAATCAGTACAGAAATATCTCATGTACATACAGTACCAGTCAAAAGTTTGGACACCACCTCATTCCAGGGTTTTTCTTTATTTTTACTATTTTCTATAATAATAGTGAAGACATCAAAACTATGAAAAACACATGGAATCACGTAGTAACAAAAAAAGTGTTAAACAAATCAAAATAGATTTTTGATTCTTCAAAGTAGCCACCCTTTGCCTTGATGACAGCTTTGCACACTCTTGGCGTTCTCTCAACCAGCTTCATGAGGAATGCTTTTCCAACAGTCTTGAAGGAGTTCCCACATATGCTGAGCACTTGTTGGCTGCATTGCCTTCACTCTGCGGTCCAACCCATCTCAATTGGGTTGAGGTCGGGTGATTGTGGAGGCCAGGTCATCTGATGCAGCACTCCATCACTCTCCTTCTTGGTCAAATAGCCCTTACACAGCCTGGAGGTGTGTTTTGGGTCATTGTCCTGTTGGAAAAACACATGATAGTCCCACTAAGCGCAAACCAGATGGAATGGCGTAACGCTGCAGCATGCTGTGGTAGCCATGCTGGTTAAGTGTGCCTTTTTAAATTCTAAATAAATTACTGACAGTGCCACCAGCAAAGCACCCCCACACTATCACACCACCATCTCCATGCTTCATGGTGGGAACCACACATGCGGAGATCATCCGTTCACCTACTCTGCATTTCACAAAGACACGGCGGTTGGAACCAAAAATCTCACATTTGGACTCATCAGACCAAAGGACAGATTTCCACCGGTCTATTGTCCATTGCTCGTGTTTCTTTGCCCAAGCAAGTCTCATCTTCTTATTGGTGTCCTTTAGTAGTGGTTTCTTTGCAGCAATTTGACCATGAAGGCCTGATTTCACGCAGTCTCCTCTGAACAGTTGATGTTGAGATATGTCTGTTACTTGAACTCTGTAGCATTTATTTGGCCTGCAATCTGAGTTGCAGTTCACTCTAATGAACTTATCCTCTGCAGCAGAGGTAACTCTGGGTCTTCCTTTCCTGTGGCGGTCCTCATGAGAGCCAGTTTCATCATAGCGCTTGATGGTTTTGGCGACTGCACTTGAAGAAACGTTCAAAGTTCTTGAAATGTTCCGTATTGACTGACCATGTCTTAAAGTAATGATGGACTGTCGTTTCTCTTTGCTTATTTGAGCTGTTCTTGACATAATATGGATTTGGTCTTTTACCAAATAGGGCTATCTTCTGTATACCACACCTACCTTGTCACAACACAACTGATTGGCTCAAATGCATTAAGAAGGAAATAAATTCCACAAATTAACTTTTAACACCTGTTAATTGAAATGCTTTCCAGGTGACTACCTCATGACTCTGGTTGAGATAATGCCAAGTGTGCAAAGCTGTCATCAAGGCAAAGGGTGGCTACTTTGAAAAATCAAAAAAATCTATTTGGATTTGTTCAACACTTTTATTTATTATTTATTTTTTTTTGTAAAAAAACATTTTACTACATGATTCCATGTGTTTTTCATAGTTTTGATGTCTTCACTATTGTTCTACAAAATAAAAAATGAGTAGGTGTGTCCAAACTTTTGACTGGTACTGTAAGTATTCACCCCCCTCAGTCAATACTTTGTAGAACACCTTTGCCAGCAATTACAGCTGTGAGTCTTTCTGGGTAAGTCTCTAAGAGCTTTCCACACCAGGATTGTGCATCATTTGCCCATTTTATTGTTCACAAAATTCTTCAAACTCTGTCAAGTTGGTTGTTAATCATTGCTAGACAATCATTTTCAGGTCTTGCCATATATTTTCAATTAGATATAAGTCCAATCTGTAACTCAGCCACTCAGAAACATTCACTGTCTTCTTGGTAAGCAACTCCAGTGTAGATCTTGCCTTGCTGAGTAGTGAATTCATCTCCCAGTGCCTGGTGGAAAGTAGATTGATCCAGGTTTTCCTATCGGATTTTGCCTGTTCTTAGCTCAATTCTGTTAATTTTTTAAATCCTGAAACTCCCCAGTCCTTAACGATCACAAGCATACCCATAACATGATGCAGCCACCACTATGCTTGAAAATATGGAGAGTGGTACTCAGTAATGTGTTGTATTGAATTTGTCCCAAACAAAACACTTTGTATTCAGGAAAAAAGTTAATTGCTTTGCCAAATTCTTTGCGGTATTACTTTAGTGCCTTGTTGCAAAAATATATTTGAACTTTTTATTTATTCAGGGTAGCCCAATTGAGACCAGGGTCTCATTCCCAATGGTGCCCTGAGTACCAACATTTTCTCACACCAGGAATAATTATTTTAGATTACAATTTAAAACAATAATTAAAAAAACAAGGCACAATTTCAACGAATAAAACACTACAATTCAAAACAACTGCAATCCTCAATGAATTCATTGAACACCAGAGTCCTAAACTGCCCTAGCGGCACCAGGGAATCCAGATGCAAGGAATTTTGTAGGTTATTCCAACAGTGGGGGGCACTAAAACTAAAGGAGGATCTACCTTAATTGGTCGGGACCATAGGGACCTCGAGTTAACCAGTCCTGTGAGTTAGGTCATTTGGAAGCTTGTGTAGTGTGGCTTTGTAAACAAAAGAGTAATTAATTGATCTACATGACTTTAATGAGGACCAGCCAACCTTTTTGATACAGGATGCAGTGGTGAGTATAAAAACTGTCACCAGTGATAAAACTAATGGCGCTATGGTAGACTGCATCTGGAGGTTTATGAGTAGGGGCTGCTGAAATCTGGTAAATGGTGTCACCATAATCAAGAACTGGCAGGAAAGTTGACTGTACAATCTGCTTTCTGCTATTTAGGGAGGGGCAAGATCTATTTCTAAAAATGAAGCCCATTTTTAAATCTTAGCTTTTTAACTAGATCATCCATATGTTTTTAAAACATTAAGTCTATGCCCAGATATTTGTAGGCGGGAACCCAATCAATGGGAGAACCATCCAATTAATAAATATGTAGTCCATCTGCAACTTTTCTTGCAAGAACTAGAGAACAACATGTATTTAGTCTTGCCCGCATTAAGTTAAACTAACCAGGGCTTTCTGTTAGGTAACAAGGTCAGATTGCTGCTCGAACAAAGCTTGGTCAACAGTTGCGGCAATGGCATACATAAGTGTAGTCTGCATATAGAGGAATATTACAAGTTTTAACAGACCAATATTTTTATATAAATAGTAAAGAGAACAGGTCCCAGTACCGACCTCTGCACCAGTACACCTTTTGTAATATCCAGGAAACGAGACTTAACGCCATCAGAGATCACACATTGAGTCCTGTCTGACAGATAATTTTCAAACCACCTGCAAGAAACCTGATCCAGGCCTATTTCAGTCAACTTTTGAATAAGAATGGGCTGGGCAACAGTATCGAAGGCCTTGGAAAGGTCTGTAAATAAGGCAGCACAATGATTTTTTTAATGATCCAAACAATTTAACACGTCTAAAATAAGCGTAGCAGCTGAAACTGTGCTATGTCCAGGTCTAAAACCGGATTGGTGCACATTTAAGAATAGAGTGAAGTTAAAGTTCTTAGCTGAAAGTTAGTAAGGGATTCTAAAACTTTGGAAAGTCAAGATAATTTGGTAATTGAACGGTAGTTATCTAAGTCAGAAGGATCTTTATGTAGGGGGAGGATGTGCCGCTTTCCAAATCTTAGGGATAACACCAGAAACAAGTAAAAAATATGTCCGTGGTTCTGCAATAAGTAGGGCAGAGGGCTGCAGTAAGAAGGGATCAAGTGAATCAGCCTTTATGTTTTTAGCAAAGCACTACGTACATCATAGACATCAAAGGGTTGAAATAAAAATAGCATATGTGAGTCAGTGCATCATCCTCCACAATCTGTTCAGAGGTGACTAAAGGACTCTAGTGGGATGAGATGAATTTTCAGAGATTATCCATTGCTAGCTGAAACAACAAAATGCTTATTAAAAGCATCACAAATGTCTAAACCTGCTGGAGCAATGAGAGGGAGGAGTTTAAAAGATTTGACCACTTTCCAGAAATTGGCTGGATTACCACCACTGATACATAATTCAATAAATGTGTTAATTTTGCTTTTTTAACCAGGGATAGACATCTATTTCTCAAATGTCTCAAGGACTGCCAATCTAGCCTTAGCCCAAGCTCAATTTCTTTGCTGTAATTTCTCAGACAATTCATGTGTAAACCAAGGATTACATCGGTCTTTTACCCTTAGTTTTTTTGTACGATATGTTTATCTGCAACAGAGTTAAACAGGGAAATAAAACAATTAACAGCCTGATCCGAGTCGGTGATAGTTGACACAATCCCCCAGTCACTCAACCCCAGCTCAGACAAAACATTTGGATATTACAATTATTAAAAAGTCTCTTTATAATAATGCGCGAGCGAGATTTAGGTAGTATAACATCTGTTATACAAGCAATGGTCACTAAACTCGTTGGCAAATATCCCATTGGCTGTAAAATTGTGAGATGCATTTGTTAGAATAATATCTAATAGAGGATTTTCTGGGTGTTTAAAGTTTGGGCGAGTTGGTTTAGTTATCAGCTGAGTTAGATTTAGCTCAGTACAATTATATTTCAGCCCATCAGATACTGGCATTAACCAATCTATATTTAAAATCACTCACTATCAGTAATTAGTCCAACATTTAGGACTAGACATTCAAATTGTTTAGGGACAGAGGTGGTGATGGATACAGAAACATTTTAATTGCTCTTTATGTATATGGTGACACCCCCTCTGCGAACTCTAGCAGATCTAAAACCATAATAACCTGTCAGATACACATCAGAGTCCGGCATAGACTTCTTTAGCCAAGATTCAGTTATAACCAGAATCTCTGCATTGGTTTGAGAAGCCAAAGTTACAATAAAATACATTTTCGAAATCTAACTTTACATAAATCAGTCAAAGGCCGCAGCTGCAGGATTTCAGATGAGGTGTTTTATAATACAAACATGCCATGTTCAGCAGGTAACACCCTACTAGAAAATACCATGGGATTGACTTGAATTGGAATAGGTACAATATTGCCTAGAACTGAACCATTAGGCCTATGCCTCGAGTGAGGAAGTGGGTTTAAATGAGTCGATGGTTACTTGTAGTATGATTATAATGCTGATAATTTATGATTTGGATCACCTGAGCGGGACTTGGTGTAGGTAAGTCAATGTCTCAGCGTATCCTTGAAATGTGAGGACAGGGTCCAGGCTCCAAGATGATTTGGATGGACCCACCATCCTCTCTGTAGAACTTCTGTTTCTAAAAGGTGTCAAAGTTATCCACAAACGTAACTCCAACAGAGCTACAGTAGACTCGTAGCCAGTCGTGTAGTGCCAGCAACCTACTGAATCTTTCGAATCAGTCATGGTACTGGGCCTGAAATAATTGGACGTTTATTGGAGTCTTTCAGAGTTCCAATCGGTTATATATATAAAATCCAGTTTCAGCTAGCCATCCTAATGTCATTAGATCCAACATGGATTACGACATCGACAGCCCCCTTCTGGCGTAAAACTGTAGGACGCACTTAGTAATATCCTGTACCCAAGCCCCAGGATAGCACAAGGTTTTTCTCCTGGAACCGAGATGTTTCTCACCATTGAGCTGCCAACTTTAACGGCTGGTGAGATGGCAGAGGAGGTCCGGCAGTTTTTGCGCCTCAAGCTGGCCGCAAACCGCATTGTGGCTGACTGAGGAGCCGGTGCGTCAGACACCCTCGAGATCAGGTGATCCGAGTCCAGAAAGAATTTGAGGCAGAATCCCCCTGGGAAGAAGTCGTGGTCCTCTGTAGCTCAGCTGGTAGAGCACGGCGCTTGTAACGCCAAGGTAGTGGGTTCGATCCCCGGGACCACCCATACACAAAAATGTATGCACGCATGACTGTAAGTCGCTTTGGATAAAAGCGTCTGCTAAATGGCATATTATTATTATAAGTCAGGATAGGGGACGATGGCGCTGGATCCTCCAAAGCCGGGAGGGCGAAGCTGTTAAACAACTGGATTTGGGTCGGGCTTCCCAACGCCAAAGAAAACCAACTTTCCACAGGCCACTTTCCTCCATTTGGCCTACGGCAGGTGACGTGCTTCCATGATTGGGCAACAGGAATGGTGACCGTATCATCCACTAAATCCATCAGAAGTGAGGGTCCTGCTCCATTTTCCAGGGAAGTGAGAGACTTTGTCAGTGAGGGGTCCCTGGAAGGCATTGGCCATTCAGTCAATGAGTGTTTTTATTTTATTTTATTTTTTAGGGGGTAGATCAGTTTTTACTTTTGTTTTAGTTTTTTGCATACAGTGAGGGAATAAAGTATTTAATCCCCTGCTGATTTTGTAAGTTTGCCCACTGACAAATAAATTATCAGTATATAATTTTAATGGTAGGTTTATTTGAACAGTGAGAGACAGAATAACAACAAAGAAATTCAGAAAAACGCATGTCAAAAATGTTATAAATTGATTTGCATTTTAATGAGGGAAATAAGTATTTGACCACCTCTCAATCAGAAAGATTTCTGGCTCCCAGGTGTCTTTTATACAGGTAATGAGCTGAGATTAGGAGCACACTCTTAAAGGGAGTGCTCCTAATCTCAGCTTGTTACCTGTATAAAAGACACCTGTCCACAGAAGCAATCAATCAGATTCCAAACTCTCCACCATGGCCAAGACCAAAGAGCTCTCCAAGGATGTCAGGGACAAGATTGTAGACCTACACAAGGCTGGAATGGGCTACAAGACCATCGCCAAGCAGCTTGGAGAAAGGTGACAACAGTTGGTGCGATTATTCGCAAATGGAAGAAACACAAAAGAACTGTCAATCTCCCTCGGCCTGGGGCTCCATGCAAGATCTCACCTCGTGGAGTTACAATGCTCATGAGAACGGTGAGGAATCAGCCCATAACTACACTGGAGGATCTTGTCAATGATCTCAAGGCAGCTGGGACCATAGTCACCAAGAAAACAATTGGTAACACACTACGCCGTGAAGGACTGAAATCCTGCAGCGCCCGCAAGGTCCCCCTGCTCAAGAAAGCACATATACATGCCCGTCTGAAGTTTGCCAATGAACATCTGAATGATTCAGAGGAGAACTGGGTGAAAGTAGCTTAGTGGTTAAGAGCGTTGTGCCAGTAACCGAAAGGTTGCTGGTTCTAATCCCCGAGCTGACTAGGTGAAAAATCTGTCTGCCCTTGAGCAAGGCACTTAACCCTAATTGCTCCTGTAAGTCACTCTGGATAAGAGCGTCTGCTAAATGACTAAAATGTAAATGTAAAGTGTTGTGGTCAGATGAGGCCAAAATGGAGCTCTTTGGCATCAACTCAACTCGCCGTGTTTGGAGGAGGAGGAATGCTGCCTATGACCCCAAGAACACCATCGGAAACATTATGCTTTGGGGGTGTTTTTCTGCTAAGGGGACAGGACAACTTCTCCAGAGCGATTTACAGTTAGTGAGTGCATACAGTTAGTTAGTGAGTTTTTTTTTTCTTCATACTGGTCCCCCGTGGGCAACGAACCCACAACGCCATGCTCTACCAACTGAGCTACACGGGTCTTAATTTTGGGTCAGTCACAGTGGTCAGGCATTCTGCCGCTGTGCACTCACTGTTTAGGGCCAAATAGTATTCCAGTTTGCTCTGTTTTTTGGTAAATTCTTTCCAATGTGTCAAGTAATTACCTTTTTGTTTTCTCATGATTTGGTTGGGTCTAACTGTGTTGCTGTGCTGGGGCTCTGTGGGGTCTATTTATGTATGTCAACAGAGCCCCAGGACCAGCTTCTTTAGGGGACTCTTCTCAAGGTTAATCTCCCTGTAGGTGATGGCTTTGTTATGGAAGGTTTGGGAATCGCTTCCTTTTAGGTGGTTGTAGAATTGAACGGCTCTTTTCTGGATGTTGATAATTAGCGGGCATCGGCCTAATTCTGCTCTGCATGCATTATTTGGCGTTTTACGTTGTACACAGATTGTTTTTGCAGAATTCTGCATGCAGTCTCAATTTAGTGTTTGTCCCATTTTGTGAATTCTTGGTTGGTGAGCGGACCCCAGACCTCACAACTGTAAAGGGCAATGGGTTCTAAATCTGATTCAAGTATTTTTAGCCAGATCCTAATTGGGATGTCAAACTTTGTTCCTTTTGATGGCATAGAAGGCCCTTCTTGCCTTGTCTCTCAGATCGTTCACAGCTTTGTGGAAGTTAACTATGGTGCTGCTGTTTAAGCCGAGGTAGGTATAGTTTTGTTTGTGCTCTAGGGCAGTGTTTCCCAAACTCGGTCCTGGGGTCCCCCCTGGGTGCACATTTTGGTTTTTGCACTACTCAGCTGATTCAAATAGCCAACTCATCATCAAGCTTTGATTATTTGAAAAAGCTGTGTAGTGCTAGGGCAAAAACCAAAACGTGCACCCAGGGAGGGCCCCAGGACCAACTTTGGGAAACCCTGCTCTTGGTGTCTAGATGGAATTTGTATTTGTGGTCCTGGCAACTGGACCTTTTTTGGAACACCATTATTTTTGTCTTAATGCAATTTACAGAATCTGTGCAGAAGATCTAGGTGCTGCTGTAGGCCCTCCTTGGTTGGGGACAGAAGCACCAGATCATCAGCAAACAGTAGACATTTGACTTCAGATTCTAGTAGGGTGAGGACGGGTGCTGCAGACTGTTCTAGTGCCGTCGCCAATTCGTGTGTGTGTACAGTTGAAGTCGGAAGTTTACATACACTTAGGTTGGAGTCATAAACTCGTTTTTCAACCACTCCACATATTTCTTGTTAACAAACTATAGTTTTAGCTAGTCGGTAGGACATCTGTGCATGACACAAGTAATATTTCAAACAATTGTTTGCAGACAGATTATTTCACTTATAATTCACTGTATCACAATTCCAGTGGGTCAGAAGTTTACATACACTAAGTTGACTGTGCCTTTTAAACAGCTTGGAAAATTCCAGAAAATGATGTAATCAAGCTTCTGATAGGCTAATTTACATCATTTGAGTCAATTGGAGGTGTACCTGTGGATGTATTTCAAGGCGTACCTTCAAACTCGGTGCCTCTGCTTGACATCATGGGAAAATCAAAAGAAATCAGCCAAGACCTCAAAAGAAATTGTAGACCTCCACAAGTCTGGTTCATCCTTGGGAGCAATTTCCAAATGCCTGAAGGTACCATGTTCATCTGTACAAACAATAGTATGCAAGAATAAACACCATGGGACCACGCAGCCGTCATACCGCTCAGGAAGGAGACGCGTTCTGTCTCCTAGAGATGAACGTACTTTGGTCCCAGAACAACAGCAAAGGACCTTGGGAAGATGCTGGAGGAAACGGGTACAAAGGTATCTATATCCACAGTAAAACGAGTCCTACATTGACATAACCTGAAAGGCCGCTCAGCAAGGAAGAAGCCACTGCTCCAAAACCGCCATAAAAAAGCCAGACTACGGTTTGCAACTGCACATGGGGACAAAGATTGTACTTTTTGGAGAAATGTCCTCTGGTCTGATGAAACAAAAATAGAACTGTTTGGCCATAATGACCATTGTTATGTTTGTAGGAAAAAGGGGGTGGCTTGCAAGCCGAAGAACACCATCCCAACCGTGAAACACGGGGGTGGCAGCATCATGCTGTGGGGGTGCTTTGCTGCAGGAGGGACTGGTGCACTTCACAAAATAGATGGCATCATGAGGAAGGAAAATTATGTGGATATACTGAAGCAACATCTCAAGACATCAGTCAGGAAGTTAAAGCTTGGTCGCAAATGGGTCTTCCAAATGGACAATGACCCAAGCATACTTCCAAAGTTGTGGCAAAATGGCTTAAGGACAACAAAGTCAAGGTATTGGAGTGGCCATCACAAAGCCCTGATCTCAATCCTATAGAACATTTGTGGGCAGAACTGAAAAAGTGTGTGCGAGCAAGGAGGCCTACAAACCTGACTCAGTTACACCAGCTCTGTCAGGAGGAATAGGCAAAAATTCACCCAACTTATTGTGGGAAGCTTGTGGAAGGCTACCCAAAACATTTGACCCAAGTTAAACAATTTAAAGGCAATGCTACCAAATACTAATTGAGTATGTACACTTCTGACCCACTGGGAATGTGATGAAATAAATAATAGCTGAAATAAATAATTCTCTACTATTATTCTGACAATTCACATTCTTAAAATAAAGTGGTGATCCTAACTGACCTAAGACAGGGAATTTCTACTAGGATTAAATTTCAGGAATTGTGAAAAACTGAGTTTAAATGTATTTGGGGAAGGTGTATGTAAACTTCCGACTTCAACTGTGTGTGTGTACACTACCGTTCAAAAGCTTGGGGTCACTTAGATATGTCCTAGTTTTCTAAAGAAAAGCAATTTTTTTTGTACATTAAAATATCATCAAATTGATCAGAAATACAGTGTAGACATTGTTAATGTTGTAAATGGCTATTGTAGCTGGAAACGGCTGATTTATTATATTTTTAATGGAATATCTACATAGGCGTACAGAGGCCCATTTATCAGCAACCATCAGTCCTGTGTTCCAATGGCACGTTGTTTGCTAATCCAAGTTGATCATTTTAAAAGGCTAATTGATCATTAGAAAACCCTTTTGCAATTATGTTAGCACAGCTGAAAACGGTTGTGCTGATTAAAGACGCAATAAAACTGGCCTTCTTGAGACTAGTTGAGTATCTGGAGCATCAGCAATTGTGGGTTCGATTACAGGCTCACAATGGCCAGAAACAAATAACTTTCTTCTGAAACTCGTCAGTCTATTCATGTTCTGAGAAATGAAGGCTATTCCAAATTGCCAAGAAACTGAAGATCTCGTACAACGCTGTGTACTACACCATTCACAGAACAGCGCAAACTGGCTCTAACCAGAATAGAAAGAGAAGTGGGAGGCCCCGGTGCACAACTGAGCAAGAGGACAAATACATTAGTGTCTAGTTTGAGAAACAGACGCCTCACAGGTCCTCAACTGGCAGCTTCATGTCTGAGATTTGTATTTTTCTTTGCAACTCTGCCTAGAAGGTCAGCATCCCGGAGTCGCCTCTTCACTGTTGACGTTGAGACTTGTGTTTTGCATGTACTATTTAATGACTGCCAGTTGAGAACCTGTGAGGCGTCTGTTTCTCAAACTAGACACTAATGTACACTGCTCAAAAAAATTAAGGGAACACTTAAACAACACAATGTAACTCCAAGTCAATCACACTTCTGTGAAATCAAACTGTCTACTTAGGAAGCAACACTGACAATAAATGTCACATGCTGTTGTGCAAATGGAATAGACAACAGGTGGAAATTATAGGCAATTAGCAAGACACCCCCAATAAAGGACTGGTTTTGCAGGTGGTGACCACAGACCACTTCTCAGTTCCTATGCTTCCTGGCTGATGTTTTGGTCACTTTTGAATGCTGGCGGTGCTTTCACTCTAGTGGTAGCATGAGACGGAGTCTACAACCCACACAGGTGGCTCAGGTAGTGCAGCTCATCCAGGATGGCACATCAATGCGAGCTGTGGCAAGAAGGTTTGCTGTGTCTGTCAGCGTAGTGTCCAGAGCATGGAGGCGCTACCAGGAGACAGGCCAGTACATCAGGAGACGTGGAGGAGGCCGTAGGAGGGCAACAACCCAGCAGCAGGACTGCTACCTCCGCCTTTGTGCAAGGAGGAGCAGGAGGAGCACTGCCAGAGCCCTGCAAAATGACCTCCAGCAGGCCACAAATGTGCATGTGTCTGCTCAAACGGTCAGAAACAGACTCCATGAGGGTGGTATGAGGGCCCGACGTCCACAGGTGGGGGTTGTGCTTACAGCCCAACACCGTGCAGGACGTTTGGCATTTGCCAGAGAACACCAAGATTGGCAAATTCGCCACTGGCGCCCTGTGCTCTTCACAGATGAAAGCAGGTTCACACTGAGCACGTGACAGACGTGACAGAGTCTGGAGACGCCGTGGAGAATGTTCTGCTGCCTGCAACATCCTCCAGCATGACCAGTTTGGCGGTGGGTCAGTCATGGTGTGGCATTTCTTTGGGGGGCCGCACAGCCCTCCATGTGCTCGCCAGAGGTAGCCTGACTGCCATTAGGTACCGAGATGAGATCCTCAGACCCCTTGTGAGACCATATGCTGGTGCGGTTGGCCCTGGGTTCCTCCTAATGCTAGACCTCATGTGGCTGGAGTTTGTCAGCAGTTCCTGCAAGAGGAAGGCATTGATGCTATGGACTGGCCTGCCCGTTCCCCAGACCTGAATCCAATTGAGCACATCTGGGACATCATGTCTCGCTCCATCCACCAACGCCACGTTGCACCACAGACTGTCCAGGAGTTGGCGGATGCTTTAGTCTAGGTCTGGGAGGAGATCCCTCAGGAGACCATCCGCCACCTCATCAGGAGCATGCCCAGGCGTTGTAGGGAGGTCATACAGGCACGTGGAGGCCACACACACTACTGAGCCTCATTTTCACTTGTTTTAAGGACATTACATCAAAGTTGGATCAGCCTGTAGTGTGGTTTTCCACTTTAATTTTGAGGGTGACTCCAAATCCAGACCTCCATGGGTTGATACATTTGATTTCCATTGATCATTTTTGTGGCTTTGTTGTCAGCACATTCAACTATGTAAAGAAAAAAGTATTCAAGATTATTTCATTCATTCAGATCTAGGATGTGTTATTTTAGTGTTCCCTTTATTTTTTTGAGCAGTGTATTTGTCCTCTTGCTCAGTTGTGCACCGGGGCCTCCCACTCCACTTTCTATTCAGGTTAGAGCCAGTCTGCGCTGTTCTGTAAAGGGAGTAGTACACAGCGTTGTACGAGATCTTCAGTTACTTGGCAATTTCTCGCATGGAATAGCCTTCATTTCTCAGAACAAGAATAGACTGACGAGTTTATGAAGAAAGTTATTTGTTTCTGGCCATTTTGAGCATGTAATCGAAGTGTTAAACAATTCCAAATATTTCATATTTCAGTTTCTTCAAAGTAGCCACCTTTGCCTTGATGACAGCTTTGCACACTCTTGGCATTTTCTCAACCAGCTTCATGAGGTAGTCACCTGGAATGCATTTCAATTAACACGTGTGCCCTCTTAAAGTTAATTTGTGGAATTTCTTTCCTTAATGCGTTTGAGCCAATCAGTTATGTTGTGACAAGGTCGGGGGATATACAGAAGATAGCCCTATTTGGTAAAAGACCAAGTCCATATTATGACAAGAACAGCTAAAATAAGCAAAGAGAAACGACAGTCCATCATTACTTTAAGACATGAAGATCAGTCAATACGGAAAATGTCAAGAACTTTGAACGTTTCTTCAAGTGCAGTCGCAAAAAACATCAAGCGCTATGATGAAACTGGCTCTCATGAGGACCGCCACAGGAATGGAAGACCCAGAGTTACCTCTGCTGCAGAGGATAAGTTCATTAGACTTACCAGCCTCAGAAATTGCAGCCCAAATAAATGCTTCATAGATTTCAAGTAACAGGCACATTTCAACATCAACTGTTCAGAGGAGACTGTGTGAATCAGGCCTTCATAGTCGAATTGCTGCAAAGAAACCACTACTAAAGGACACCAATAATAGTAAGAAGAGACTTGTTTGTGCCAAGAAACATGAGCAATGGACATTAGACTGGTGGAAATTTGTCCTTTGGTCTGGAGTCCAAAATTGAGATTTTTGGTTCCAACTGCCGTGTCTTTGTGAGATGCGGTGTGGGTGAACGGATGATCTCTGCATGTGTTGTTCCTACCGTAAAGCATGGAGGTGGTGGTGCTATGGTGTGGGAGTGCTTTGCTGGTGACACTGATTCATTTAGAAATCAAGGCACACTTAACCAGCATGGCTACCATAGCATTCTGCAGCGATACGCCATCCCATCTGGTTGTGGCTTAGTGGGACTATCATTTGTTTTTCAACAGGACAATGACCCAACACACCTCCAGGCTGTGTAAGGGCTATTTTACCTAGAAGGAGAGTGATGGAATGCTCCATCAGATGACCTGGCCTCCACTATCCCCCGACCTCAACCCAATTGAGATGGTTTGGGATGAGTCGGACTGCAGAGTGAAGGAAAAGCAGCCAACAAGTGCTAAGCATATGTGGGAACTCCTTCAAGACTGTTGGGAAAGCATTCCATGTGAAGCTGGTTGAGAGAATTCCAAGCGTGTGCAAAGCTGTCAAGGCAAAGGGTGGCTTTTTTGGAATATCTCAAATATAAGATATATTTTGATTTGTTTAACACCTTTTTGGTTACTACATGATTCCATATGTTATTTCATAGTTTTGATGTTTTCACTATTATTCTACAACGTAGAAAATAGTACAAATAAAGAAAAACCCTAGAATGAGTTGGTGTCCAAACTTTTGGCTTGTACCAGTCATTCCAGTTTAATAAAAAAATTGTATGTGTACTATTTTCTACATTGTAGAATAATAGTGAAGACATCAAAATGATGAAATAACACTTATGGAGTTATGTAGTAACAAACAATAGGTCACACATTTTACTGCGATTACACCTAACACATATGAGAGTTTGTCTATTTGTTTTGTTTTCTGTTTTTTTCTTGTTCAGTTTTTTTAATCTTTCAATCGCTCTCATCTCTAGCTGTCAGAGACCAAGATCTTCACAGCCTCCAGTGTGGCCTCCATGCCACACCCCCAGGAGAATGTCACCATCACTGCAGGACAGAGGTGGGCGAGCCTGACGCGGAATGCGAACACACCCACAGCCATTCACTCTACAGTCACGCTATCACACGTCTTTCTATAAATAATGGGGTCAATTTGTGACATTGGATCAATTTCTTAATGGTTCAAAAGAACATATTTTTATGCAGTTCCACATGTTTACTTGGAGGAATATATGCAAATTGGCCCATAACTCCACCTATACAACAGGCCTAGCAGATGACGGTAACAGCACATTAAGTGTTTTTATATAAATTATTTGGTTTTGCTTCGTTAAATTGTTACAACCTCCCAGTTCTGCATAAAATGTAAATATATGTTAACATGACCGCCTTACGTTAAATTAATGGGCTTAAAATGCTGTATTTGTTAGATTCCGTACATACGAATGACCATATTAAGTACCTAGTTTGCAGAAAGTAGTATAAATTGCATTCTAATTTCATAAATTGTTTCAAATAGTAACGAACTTTCAGTTTTGCATAAGGATTTGTTAATATGACCACCCTACCTTACGTTTTTGATTTTAAGTTACTGTAATTATGTATTCTGTACTGCCTAATTTGCATATGAAGTGCCCCATTTATTTGAAACAACTCTGTTCTACATCAGCCCTAAAACAATATGACAACCCTTTCTTCAGCTATTGGACAAAACGTGTTAAAATTAAGAATCCAGACAGGTGATTTGGTGCCATTTTTGTCTAGAGATTAACGTTGACCACTGACCTTTCACCTTTTTCTGATCACTTGAAAATAAGATATCTCTGCAAGGGTAAGTCCTATCCTTGTGAAATGAAGTGTTCTGGGTTCCTGAGAAGCTTCTCTATAACATGGAATACAAAGTATAACACCAGAACCACCGTTTCATTTTGACCCCTAACACCCTATTAATATATACTGAACAAAAATATAAATGCAAGAAGTTCAAAGATTTTACTAACTTTTCATATAAGGAATTCAGTCAATTGAAATAAATTCATTAGGCCCTAAGCTATGGATTGCGCTTGACTGGGAACACAGATGAGCATCTGTTGGTCACAGATACCTTAAAGAAAGGTAGGGACGTGGATCAGAAAAGTATCAGTCAGTATCTGATGTGACCACCATTTGCTTCATCCAGTGCGCCACATCTCCTTCACATAAAGTTGATCAGGCTGTTGATTGTGGCATGTGGAATGTTGTCCCACTCCTCTTAAATGGCTGTGCGAAGTTGCTGGATTCAAATTGCCATTGATAAAATGCAGTTGTGTTCATTGTCCGTAGCTTATGCCTGCCCATACCATAACCCCACTGCCACCATGGGGCACTCTGTTCACAACATTGACATCAGCAAACCGCTCGCCCACCAGACGCCATACACGTGGTTTGCGGTTGTGGGACGTACTGCCAAATTCTCTAAAACGACGTTGGAGGCGGTTTATGGTCGAGAAATTAACATTAGATAATCTGGCAACAGCTCTGGTGGACATACCTGCAGTCAGCATGCCAATTGCATTCTCTCTCAATAGTTTAGACATCTGTGGTGTTGTGTGACAAAACTGCACATTTTAGAGTGGCCTTTTATTGTCCCCAGCACAAGGTGCACCTGGGTAATGATCATGCTGTTTAATCAGCTTCTTGATATGCCACAACTGTCAGGTGGATGGAATATCTTGGCAAAGGAGAAATGCTCACTCACAGGGATGTAAACATGGACATTTCCGTGATCTTTTATTTCAGCTCATGAAACATGGGACCAACACTTAACATGTTGTGTTTATATTTTTGTTCAGTTGATAATATAACGACAACTTAGACTGCCATAAATGCAAGGACAGAAAAGTAATGTTTTAATGTCACACAATTTTGGACAGTTCTGTCAAGGTAAAACAGGTTTTAAATCAACTCGTGAATTGTATTGAATATAGCTATGTTCCCCTCTTAAATCTTAAAGTAATGACATGAAAAAAATTGGCAGATTATTATCAATGACTTATCAACAGCTGTAGCAAGTTGTCCAGCGTAGGAAATCCTCACTGGTACCATAGTTTATAGAAAGACCCATATACATGCAACCACAACTCCTCATCCACTCACTGAAAGCCATGTATTTTTTAATAAGGGTGTGTATCCTGACTCATGTCCATGTAAAACACGTATCTTCAACATCACCAAACTCTGCAGTCTAGTCAAATTTCCAAAGTTTTTTTTCAACTTTACTGAGAGATTCCATGTGTAGAAAATTCAAATTTGTAATTCAAGCACTTCTGGTGTTATGACTATGAATTTCAGCTCTGTATCAGGTTTCTTCCACCCCAAAACGTACTATCATATATACAATCAATTAGCTAACATGAGTCAGAACAACATCCGTTTCTCAGACCCTGTGATAGGCTAGTGTCCTGTCTAGGTGTTTACTTGTACATCAAGCTGCCTCATGCTACAGAAGCAGGAGATAGGCTCCTGCCCTATGGGCTGTTCTGGCTCGGATGAGGCGAATTACTTACTAACTCTGACCCCTGTCCCATGCAGGATTGACCTGGCAGTGCTGCTAGGGAAGACTTCCCCATCCGAGGCAGAGGCCCCGGGCCCCATGGAGGCCAGCCAGCCCCCCTCCCTCCCCCAGTCACTGGTCTTCAGCAACTCCAAGCAGGGTGGGCCGCTGTCCCAACCCACCTCCAGCAGCACCTCCTACACCCAGCACAGCATGGTGAGCCCACAGGACACACACAAAACGGTTTCCACTCTATTCTAAATGTTTTCCCCCTTCTGTTTTATTAACCCATCCACCACCCCACCCCCTCTTCGGAGGACATATATATATATATATATATATATATTTTTTTTTTTTTTTTTTTTTTTTACAGCTTTTCTGCTACATATACATATACATGTTGCATACACATTTTACATACATGGTACTTTTATATAAAGCGGTCACATAACAATAATACATTACCAAACATAAGCTCTTTAATCCCACCCCTAAGCAACTCTCAACCCATCCCACCTATCACCATAGACCACCCTCTTTTGGTTTCCATGTGCCATATATTTTTCAATTGTGATGTTTTACATACATTTTAAACCTTTCTAATCGTATAGTGTCCAAAGATTGAGCTAAAGATGATAACCTTTCCTACGAGTATTATTATATTATTTATTGACTATGGCTTTCCAAATCACCCAACACTGCTATTTGTAAGGGTAGTTTTAAGTGAATGTTGTGATTTTTTTTTTTTACCATTCCTGAACCTGTGACCAGAAACAAGCTACATAGGGGCAATACCAGAATAAATGATCTAGTGATTCTCTCTTTGCAGCAAAATCTACAGAGCTTAGATTGTTGTATGCCCCATATACATACATACATACATACATACATACATACATACATACATACATACATACATACATACATACATACATACATACATACATACATACATACATACATAAGTATTTAGTCAGCCACCAATTGTGCAAGTTCTCCCACTTAAAAAGATGAGGCCTGTAATTTTCATCATAGGTACACGTCAACTATGACAGACAAATTGAGAAGAAAAAAAAATCTAGAAAATCACATTGTAGGATTTTTAATGAATTTATTTGCAAATTATGGTGGAAAATAAGTATTTGGTCACCTACAAACAAGCAAGATTTCTGGCTCTCACAGACCTGTAACTTCTTAACAAAAGTTTCTCTACTTTATTATATACCCTTTGTTGGCAATGACACAGATCAAACGTTTTCTGTAAGTCTTCACAAGGTTTTCACACACTGTTGCTGGTATTTTGGCCCATTCCTCCATGCAGATCTCCTCTAGAGCAGTGATGTTTTGGGGCTGTCGCTGGGTAACACGGACTTTCAACTCCCTCCAAAGATTTTCTATGGGGTTGAGATCTGGAGACTGGCTAGGCCACTCCAGGACCTTGAAATGCTTCTTACGAAGCCACTCCTTCGTTGCCCGGGCGGTGTGTTTGGGATCATTGTCATGCTGAAAGACCCAGCCACGTTTCATCTTCAATGCCCTTGCTGATGGAAGGAGGTTTTACATTTACATTTTAGTCATTTAGCAGACGCTCTTATCTAGAGCGACTTTATCTTTTTATTTTTTATTTTTTTATTAATTTTTTTATACTGGCCCCCCGTGGGAATTGAACCCACAACCCTGGCGTTGCAAACGCCATGCTCTACATCCCTGCCGGCCATTCCCTCCCCTACCCTGGACGACGCTGGGCCAATTGTGCGGCGCCCCATGGGTCTCCCGGTCGTGGCCGGCTACGACAGAGCCTGGATTCACTCAAAATCTCACGATACATGGCCCCATTCATTCTTTCCTTTACACGGATCAGTCGTCCTGGTCCCTTTGCAGAAAAACAGCCCCAAAGCATGTTGTTTCCACCCCCATGCTTCACAGTAGGTATGGTGTTCTTTGGATGCAACTCAGCATTCTTTGTCCTCCAAACAAGACGAGTTGAGTTTTTACCAAAAAGTTCTATTTTGGTTTCATCTGACCATATGACATTCTCCCAATCCTCTTCTGGATCATCCAAATGCACTCTAGCAAACTTCAGACGGGCCTGGACATGTACTGGCTTAAGCAGGGGGACACGTCTGGCACTGCAGGATTTGAGTCCCTGGCGGCGTAGTGTGTTACTGATGGTAGGCTTTGTTACTTTGGTCCCAGCTCTCTGCAGGTCATTCACTAGGTCCCCACGTGTGGTTCTGGGATTTTTGCTCACCGTTCTTGTGATCATTTTGACCCCACGGGGTGAGATCTTGCGTGGAGCCCCAGATCGAGGGAGATTATCAGTGGTCTTGTATGTCTTCCATTTCCTAATAATTGCTCCCACAGTTGATTTCTTCAAACCAAGCTGCTTACCTATTGCAGATTCAGTCTTCCCAGCCTGGTGCAGGTCTACAATTTTGTTTCTGGTGTCCTTTGACAGCTCTTTGGTCTTGGCCATAGTGGAGTTTGGAGTGTGACTGTTTGAGGTTGTGGACAGGTGTCTTTTATACTGATAACAAGTTCAAACAGGTGCCATTAATACAGGTAACGAGTGGAGGACAGGGGAGCCTCTTAAAGAAGAAGTTACAGGTCTGTGAGAGCCAGAAATCTTGCTTGTTTGTAGGTGACCAAATACTTATTTTCCACCATAATTTGCAAATAAATTCATTAAAAATCCTACAATGTGATTTTCTAGATTTTTTTTTTTCTCAATTTGTCTGTCATAGTTGACGTGTACCTATGATGAAAATTACAGGCCTCATCTTTTTAAGTGGGAGAACTTGCACAATTGGTGGCTGACTAAATACTTTTTTCCCCCACTATATATATATATATATATAACTCTCTCACAAAAGTGAGTACACCCCTCACATTTTTGTAAATATTTGAGTATATCTTTTCATGTGACAACACTGAAGAAATTACACTTTGCTACAATGTAAAGTAGTGAGTGTACAGCTTGTATCAGTGTAAATTTGCTGTCCCCTCAAAATAACTCAACACACAGCCTTTAATGTCTAAACCGCTGGCAACAAAAGTGAGTACACCCCTAAGTGAAAATGTCCAAATTGGGCCCAATTAGCCATTTTCCCTCCCCGGTGTCATGTGAATCGTTATTGTTACAAAGTCTCAGGTGTAAATGGGGAGCTGGTGTGTTAAATTTGGTGTCATCGCTCTCACACTCCCTCATACTGGTCAGTGGAAGTTCAACATGGCACCTCATGGCAAAGAACTCTCTGAGGATCTGAAAAAAAGAATTGTTGTTCTACATAAAGATGGCCTGGCCTATAAGAAGATTGCCAAGACCCTGAAACTGAGCGGCAGCACGTTGGCCAAGACCATACAGCGGTTTAACAGGACAGGTTCCACTCAGAACAGGCCTCGCCATGGTCGACCAAAGAAGTTGAGTGCACATGCTCAGCGTCATATCCAGAGGTTGTCTTTGGGAAATCGACGTATGAGTGCTGCCAGCATTGCTGCAGAGGTTGAAGGGGTGGGGGGTCAGCCTGTCAGTGCTCAGACCATACGCCGCACACTGCATCAAATTGGTCTGCATGGCTGTCGTCCCAGAAGGAAGCCTCTTCTAAAGATGATGCACAAGAAAGCCCGCAAACAGTTTGCTGAAGACAAGCAGACTAAGGACATGGATTACTGGAACCATGTCCTGTGGTCTGATGAGACCAAGATAAACTTATTTGGTTCAGATGGTGTCAAGCGTGTGTGGCTGCAACCAGGTGAGGAGTACAAAGACAAGTGTGTCTTGCCTACAGTCAAGCATGGTGGTGGGACTGTCATGGTCTGGGGCTGCATGAGTGCTGCCGGCACTGGGGAGCTACAGTTCATTGAGGGAACCATGAATGCCAACATGTACTGTGACATACTGAAGCAGAGCATGATCCCCTCCCTTCAGAGACTGGACCGCAGGGCAGTATTCCAACATGATAACGACCCTAAACACACCTCCAAGACAACCACTGCCTTGCTAAAGAAGCTGAGGGTAAAGGTGATGGACTGGCCAAGCATGTCTCCAGACCTAAACCCTATTGAGCATCTGTGGGGCATCCTCAAACGGAAGGTGGAGGAGTGCAAGGTCTCTAACATCCACCAGCTCCGTTATGTCGTCATGGAGGAGTGGAAGAGGACTCCAGTGGCAACCTGTGAAGCTCTGGTGAACTCCATGCCCAAGAGGGTTAAGGCAGTGCTGGAAAATGATGGTGGCCACACAAAATATTGACACTTTGTGCCCAATTTGCACAGGGGTGTACTCACTTTTGTTGCCAGCGGTTTAGACATTAATGGCTGTGTGTTTAGTTATTTTGAGGGGACAGCAAATTTACACTGATACAAGCTGTACACTCACTACTTTACATTGTAGCAAAGTGTCATTTCTTCAGTGTTGTCACATGAAAAGATACTCAAATATCTACAAAAATGTGAGGGGTGTACTCACTTTTGTGAGATACTGTGTGTGTGTGTGTGTGTGTGTGTGTGTGTGTGTGTGTGTGTGTGTATGTGTATATATATATATATATATATACACACACACACACACACACACACACACACACACACACACACACACAGTGGGGAGAACAAGTATTTGATACACTGCCGATTTTGCAGGTTTTCCTACTTACAAAGCATGTAGTGGTCTAATTTTTATCATAGGTACACTTCAACTGTGAGAGACGGAATCTAAAACAAAAATCCAGAAAATCACATTGTATGATTTTTAAGTAATTCATTTGCATTTTATTGCATGACATAAGTATTTGATACATCAGAAAAGCAGAACATAATATTTGGTACAGAAACCTTTGTTTGTAATTACAGAGATCATACGTTTCCTGTAGGTCTTGACCAGGTTTGCACATACTGCAGCAGGGATTTTGGCCCACTCCTCCATACAGACCTTCTCCAGATCCTTCAGGTTTCGAGGCTGTCGCTGGGCAATACGGACTATCAGCTCCCTCCAAAGATTTTCTATTGGGTTCAGGTCTGGAGACTGGCTAGGCCACTCCAGGACCTTGAGATGCTTCTTACGGAGCCACTCCTTAGTTGCCCTGGCTGTGTGTTTCAGGTCGTTGTCATGCTGGAAGACCCAGCCACAACCCATCTTCAATGCTCTTACTGAGGGAAGGAGGTTGTTGGCCAAGATCTCGCGATACATGGCCTCATCCATCCTCCCCTCAATACGGTGCAGTCGTCCTGTCCCCTTTGCAGAAAAGCATCCCCAAAAAATGTTTCCACCTCCATGCTTCATGGTTGGGATGGTGTTCTTGGGGTTGTACTCATCCTTCTTCTTCCTCCAAACATGGTGAGTGGAGTTTAGACCAAAAAGCTCTAATTTTGTCTCATCAGACCACATTACCTTCTCCCATTCCTCCTCTGGATCATCCAGATGGTCATTGGCAAACTTCAGACAGGCCTGGACATGCGCTGGCTTGAGCAGGGGGACCTTGCATGCGCTGCAGGATTTTAATCCATGATGGCGTAGTGTGTTACTAATGGTTTTCTTTGAGACTGTGGTCCCAGCTCTCTTCAGGTCATTGACCAGGTCCTGCTGTGTAGTTCTGGGCTGATCCCTCACCTTCCTCATGATCATTGATGCCCCACGAGGTGAGATCTTGCATGGAGCCCCAGACCGAGGGTGATTGACCATCATCTTGAACTATTTTCTAATAATTGCGCCAACAGTCGTTGCCTTCTCACCAAGCTGCTTGCCTATTGTCCTGTAGCCCATCCCAGCCTTGTGCAGGTCTACAATTGTATCTCTGATGTCCTTACACAGCTCTCTGGTCTTGGCCATTGTGGAGAGGTTGGAGTCTGTTTGAGTGTGTGGACAGGTGTCTTTTATACAGGTAATGAGTGGAGAACAGGAGGGCTTCTTAAAGAAAAACTAACAGGTCTGTGAGAGCCGGAATTCTTACTGGTTGGTAGGTGATCAAATACTTATGTCATGCAATAAAATGCAAATTAATTACTTAAAAATCATACAATGTGATTTTCTGGATTTTTGATTTAGATTCCGTCTCTCACAGTTGAAGTGTACCTATGATAAATATTACAGACCTCTACATGCTTTGTAAGTAGGAAAACCTGCAAAATCGGCAGTGTATCAAATACTTGTTCTCCCCACTGTGTGTGTGTGTGTGTGTGTGTGTGTGTGTGTGTGTGTGTGTGTATATATATATATATATATATATATATATATATATATATATATATATATATATATATATATATATATATATATATATATACTACCATTCAAAAGGTTGGGGTCACTTAAACGTCCTTGTTTTCTAAAGAAAAGCACTTTTTTTTGTCCATTAAAATGACATCAAATTGATCAGAAATACAGTGTAGACTGTTAATGTTTGTTGATGGCTATTGTTGCTGGAAATGACTGATTTAAAAAAAAAAATGGAATATCTACATAGGCGTACAGAGGCCCATTTATCAGCAACCATCAGTCCTGTGTTCCAATGGCACGTTGTGTTTGCTAATCCAAGTTTATCATTTTAAAAGGCTAATTGATCATTAGAAAACCCTTTTGCAATCATGTTAGCACAGCTGAAAACTTGTGCTGATTAAAGAAGCAATAAAACTGGCCTTCTTGAGACTAGTTGAGTATCTGGAGCATCAGCAATTGTGGGTTCGATTACTGGCTCAAACTGTCCGGAAACAAATAACTTTCTTCTGAAACGTGTCAGTCTATTCTTGTTCTGAGAAATGAAGGCTATTCCATGCAAGAGAGTGCCAAGAAACTGAAGATCTCGTACAATGCAGTGTACTACTCCCTTCACAGAACAGCGCAAACTGGTTCTAACCAGAATAGAAAGAGGGGTGGGAGGCCCCGGTGCACAACTGAGCAAGAGGACCAATACGTTAGTGTCTAGTTTGAGAAACGGACGCCTCACAGGTCCTCAACTGGCACCTTCATTAAATAGTACCCGCAAAACACCAGTCTCAACGTCAACAGTGAAGAGGCGACTCCGGGATGCTGACCTTCTAGGCTGAGTTGCAAAGAATAAGCCATATCTCAGACTAACCAATAAAAAGAAAATATTTAAGATGGGCAAAGGAACACAGACACTGGACAGAGGAAGATTGGAAAAAAGTGTTATGGACAGACGAATCGAAGTTTGACGTGTTCGGATCACAAAGAAGAACATTTGTGAGACTCAGACCAAATGAAAAGATGCTGGATGAGTGTTTGATGCCATTTGTCAAGCATGGGTGGAGGCAATGTGATGGTATGGGGGTGCTTTGGTGGTGGGAAAGTGGGGGATTTGTACAGGGTAAAAGGGATCTTGAAGAAGGAAGGCTATCACTCCATTTTGCAACGCCATGCCATACCCTGTGGACGGCGCTTGATTGGAGCCAATTTCCTCCTACAACAGGACAATGACCCAAAGCACAGCTCAGCTCCAAACTATGCAAGAACTATTTAGGGAAGAAGCAGTCAGCTGGTATTCTGTCTATAATGGAGTGGCCAGCACAGTCACCGGATCTCAACTCTATTGAGGCCAAATCCAAGATGGCGTAGCAGTGCGTCATGTTTTTTTTCTGTGTCCTTGTATAAATAGCCTGTTTTTTTTGTCTATTTTGTATACCGTATTTTCCGCACTATAAGGCGCACTTAAAAGCCTTTAATTTTCTCAAAAAACGACAGTGCGCCTTATAATCCGGAGCGCTTTATATATGGATCAATTGGTTAATTGGTTGATCCATACTGGTTGTACACGGCGCTCAAGGTGCTCTGTCAAAATGTTTCAGTATGAAAAACCAATAAAAACAATTTAATAATAATGAAATGTTTCAGTACGACTGGTAAACTACAAAGCCGCACCACTTGCAGCATTACGGTAGCCAGTACACACCGGTATTGTGCTTACTCACAGTCCCACACCACTTGTGTGTGTATAAAGACCCCAAAATGGCACCTTTCAAGAGACACGCTTACGACGCAGAGTTCAAGCTCAAGGCTGTCGGTCATGCAGTAGAATATGGGAATAGAGCAGCAGCGAGAGAATTCAACATTAATGAATCAATGGTACGGAAGTGGAGGAAGCAAGAAGATGACCTGCGCCAAGTAAAGAAGACTAAACAGAGTTTCCGCGGGAACAAAGCGAGATGGCCACAGTTAGAGAACAAACTCGAACAGTGGGTTGTTGAACAGAGAGCAGCAAGTAGAAGCGTCTCTACAGTCACTATTCGAATGAAGGCAACAGCGCTAGCACGGGACATGACAATCGATGAATTTCGAGGCGGTCCTTCTTGGTGCTTTCGTTTTATGAAAAGACGTAATCTCTCCATCCGCACACGAACTACCGTCTCGCAGCAACTGCCAAAAGATTACCAAGAAAAGCTGGTCACTTTCCGCGCATACTGCAAAAAGAAGATCACTGAAAAGAAGATCCGGCCAGAGCACATCACCAACATGGACGAGGTTCCACTCACCTTTGATATTCCCGTGAACCGCACTGTGGAGAAAACGGGGACCAGTACGGTGTCTGTACGTACCACAGGGAATGAGAAGTCATCCTTCACTGTAGTTCTCGCCTGCCAGGCTAATGGCCAGAAACTTCCACCCATGATTATTTTCAAGAGGAAGACCTTGCCAAAAGAGAACTTTCCAGCCGGCGTCGTCATCAAAGCTAGCCCGAAGGGATGGATGGATGAGGAAAAGATGAGTGAGTGGCTGAGAGAAATTTACGTCAAGAGACCGGGTGGCTTTTTCCACACAGCTCCGTCCCTATTGATCTACGACTCAATGCGCGCCCATATCACCGATGCTGTCAAAAAACAAGTGAAGCAAACTAATTCGGAGCTTGCCGTCATTCCGGGTGGATTAACTAAAGAACTCCAGCCGCTAGATATTGGTGTCAACAGGGCGTTCAAAGCTAGACTGCGAGCTGCGTGGGAGCAGTGGATGACAGAAGGCGAACACACGTTCACCAAGACGGGGAGACAGCGCCGGGCGACTTACGCCACTATCTGCCAATGGATCGTGGATGCCTGGGCTGATATATCGGTCTCAACTGTGGTCAAAGCTTTCACGAAGGCAGGAATAATCTCTGAACTGCCAGGCAACAGCAGCGACACTGACTCGGATAATGACGAGAGGGAGCCGGGCAGGTTGGATGCCGTAGTCGCCCAACTGTTCAATTCGGACACTGAAGAAGAAGAATTCGAGGGGTTCGTGGATGGGGAATGAACTGAAAAAGTGAGCTTTACGTGTTATATGTAACTGAACAATGTTGAGTTATGCACTAACGTTTGATTTAGTGGTATCAGACTGTTTCTTTTACTACGTGTTTACTGAATCAGGGAAAGGTTCCCCTCCACGTTTGGGAGAAGAGTGAGCAAGGCTGGGAGATATTGTTAATATGCACATTAACGTTTGAACAACATTACCATGGGAGTGAACGGAGTTGTCAGAACGCTTAATAAAGTTTGACTTTATCTGACTGTTTTGTTGACATTCCTTTTAGCACAGCTCCATCTAGTGGATGCATAACGCAACCCCAGTCAATTCGTTTGACTACAGTATCTTCTATTCTATGCGCCTTATAATCCGGTGCGCCCTATATATGAAAACAGTTCTAAAATAGGCCATTCATTGAAGGTGCGCCTTATAATCCGGTGCGCCTTATAGTGCGGAAAATACGGTATATTTCTCAATTTTACTTTTCATTCTTTAACTAAATATACTTTCCTGCAATCCGCCTCACCCAACATGGAAAGGATTCTATTATTTCTTTATAACTTTTATCAAGAACCTTAAGCTGAAACTAGCCTAGCTGCAACCGAATGGCCACTTGCTATTAGCCACCCTTAGCGTCTTCACCATTGTCCGTGGCCTGCACTACCAGCCAGCCAGCTCTAGCTCTAGCCTGGACAATTTGTCGGCCAGTCTGCACAGCGTGCTATCGACCCAGAGCATATCGGATTTTCTGCCGCAATCACTGGACCCTAGCGCCGGATCATCGCAACCAGCTAGCTGCAACCAAATGGCTGTTGTCGTTGGCTAATTACCATTGCCCTTTGGCAAGCACCAGTTAGCCTTGAGCTAGCCTCTAGCCAGGCCCATCTCCCGGCTATCTACCTCTCTGTCGATCGGACGGGACCTCCTAGTGTTGACACGGAGCCCCGCCGATCCAACACGACTGGTTTGCCGATGAAATCGTCTGATGTGGTTTCAACAGGCTTCCCGCATCCTGTTTATGTTTAGCCTCAGACCAAACTTTGTCACCATTACAAGCTGTTGTCTTGGCCCGGGTATCATGGATGGATATTGACCTCATTCCGTCAGTAGAGGATGCCTGGTTGTTCTTTAAAAGTGCTTTCCTCTCAATCTTAAATAAGCATGCCCCATTCAAAAAAAGTCTGAACTAAGAACAGATATAGCCCCTGGTTCTCCTCAGACTTGACTGCCCTTGACCAGCACAAAAACATCCTGTGGCGTACTGCATTAGCATCGAACAGCCCCCACGATATGCAACTTTTCAGGGAAGTCAGGAACCAATATACACAATCAGTTAGGAAAGCAAAGGCTGGCTTTTTCAAACAAATGTGCATCCTGTAGCACTAACTCCAAAAAGTTTTGGGACACTGTAAAGTCCATGGAGAATAAGAGCACCTCCTCCCAACTGCCCACTGCACTGAGGCTAGGAAACACTGTCACCACCGATAAATCTACAATAATCGAGAATTATGCTTTCCACCTGGCTACCAGTACCCCGGTCACCAGCTCTGCACCCTCCGCTGCAACTTGCCCATGCCCCCCCCTCTTCAAAAGGGGGTGACACTCTAGATCACTAAAGACAGTACTGCGCAGCCGTCTTCATCGACCTGGCCAAGGCTTTCGACGCATTCTTATTGGCAGACTAAATAGCCTTGGTTTCTCAAATGACTGCCTCGCCTGGTTCACCAACTACTTCTCAGATAGAGTTCAATGTGTCAAATCGGAGGGCCTGTTGTCTGGACCTCTGGCAGTCTCTATGGGGGTGCCACAGGGTTCAATTCTCGGGCCGACTCTATTCTCTGTGTATATCAATGATGTTGCTCTTGATGCCGGTTACGCTCGGATCCACCTCTATGCGGACGACACCATTTTGTATACATCTGGCCCTTCATTGGACACTGTGTTAACAAACCTCCAAACGAGCTTCAACGCCTTACAACACTCGTTCCGTAGCCTCCAACTGCTCTTAAACGCTAGTAAAACTAAATGCATGCTCTTCAACCGAACGCTGCTTGCACCCGCCCACCCGACTAGAATCACTACTCTCGGCGGGTCTGACCTAGAGTATGTGGACAACTACAAATCCCTAGGTGTCTGGTTAGACTGTAAACTCTCCTTCCAGACTCACATTAAGCATCTCCAATCAAAAGTTCGGCTTCCTATTTCGCAACAAAGCCTCCTTCACTCATGCTGCCAAACATGCCCTCGTAAAACTGACTATCCTACCGATCCTTGACTTCGGCGATGTCATTTACAAAATAGCCTCCAACACTCTACTCAGCAAATTGGATGTAGTCTATCACAGTGCCATCCGTTTTGTCACCAAAGCCCCATATACTATCCACCATTGTGACCTGTACGCTCTCGTTGGCTGGCCCTCACAACATATTCGTCGCCAAACCCACTGGCTCCAGGTCATCTATAAATCACTGCTAGGCAAATCCCAGTCTTATCTTAGCTCACTGGTCATCATAGCAACACCCACCCGTAGTATGCGCTCCAGCAGGTATATCTCACTGGTCATCCCCAAAGCCAACACCTCATTTGGCCGCCATTCCTTCCAGTTCTCTGCTGCCAATGACTGGAACGAACTGCAAAAATCTCTGAAGCTGGAGACTTATCTCCCTCACTAACTTTAGGCGTCAGTTGTGAAAGCAGCTTACCGATCACTGCACCTGTACACAGCCCATCTGTAATTAGCCTATCCAACTACCTCATCCCCATATTGTTATTTATTTTGCTAATTTGCACCCCAGTATCTCTATTTGCACATCATCTTTTGCACATCTATCAGTCCAGTGTTAATACGAAATTATAACAATTTTGCACTATGGCCTATTTATTGCCTTACCTCCATAATTTTCTACATTCGCACACACTGTATATATATTTTCTGTTGTATTTTTGACTTTGTTTTGTTTACCCCATATGTAACGCTGTGTCGTTGTTTTTATCGCACTGCTTTGCTTTATCTTGGCAAGGTCACAGTTGTAAATGAGAACTTGTTCTCAACTTGCTTACCTGGTTAAATAAAGGTGAAATAAAAAATAAAAAAATTGAGCTGTTGTGGGAGCAGCTTGACCGTATGGTACGTAAGAAGTGCCCATCAAGCCAATCTAACTTGTGGGAGGTTCTTCAGGAAGCATGGGGTGAAATCTCTTCAGATTACCTCAACAAATTGTCTGTCTGTGACCCCAAACTTTTGAACGGTTATGTGTGTGTGTGTGTGTGTGTATGTATGTATGTGTATGTATATATATATATATATATATATATATATATATATATATATATATATATATATATATAGATAGATAGATAGATAGATAGATAGATAGATAGATAGATAGATAGATAGATAGATAGATATCTCAGCAACAAAAGAAACGTCCTCTCACTGTCAACTGCGTTTATTTTCAGCAAACTTAATGTGTAAATATTTATATGAACATAACAAGATTCAACAACTGAGATATACACTGAACAAGTTCCATAGACATGTGACTAACAGAAATGGGGTAAAGTGTCACTGAACAAAGGGGGGTCAAAATCAAAAGGAACAGTCAGTATCTGGTGTGGCCACCAGCTGCATTAAGTACTGCAGTGCATCTCCTCCTCATGGACTGCACCAGATTTGTCAGTTCTTGCTGTGAGATGTTACCGCACTCTTCCACCAAGGCACCTGAAGTCTGGGGGGAATGGCCCTAGCCCTCACCCTCCGATCCAACAGGTCCCAGACGTGCTCAATGGGATTGAGATCCGGGCTCTTCGCTGGCCATTGCAGAACACTGACATTCCGGTCTTGCAGGAACTCACGCACAGAACAAGCAGTATGGCTGGTGGTATTGTCATGCTGTAGGGTCATGTCAGGGTGAGCCTGCAGGAAGGGTACCACATGAGGGAGGAGGATGTCTTCCCTGTAACGCACAGCGTTGAAATTGCCTGCAATGACAACAAGCTCAGTCTGATGATGCTGTGACACACCGCCCCAGACCATGACGGACCCTCCACCTCCAAATCGATCCCGCTCCAGAGTCAGGCCTCGTTGTAACGCTCATTCCTTTGACGATAAACGCAAATCCTCCGACCATCACCCCTGGTGAGACAAAACCGCGACTCGTCAGCGAAGAACACTTTTTGCCAGTCCTGTCTGGTCCAGAGATGGTGGGTTTGTGCCCATAGGCGACGTTGTTGCCGGGGATGTCTGTTGAGGACCTGCCTTACAACAGGCCTACAAGCCCTCAGTCCAGCCTTTCTCAGCCTATTGCGGACAGTCTGAGCACTGATGGAGGGATTGTGCGTTCCTGGTGTAACTCTGGCAGTTGTTGTTGCCATCCTTTACCTGTCCCGCAGGTGTGATGTTCGGATGTACCGATCCTGTGCAGGTGTTGTTACACGTGGTCTGCCACTGCGAGGACGATCAGCTGTCCGTCCTGTCTCCCTGTAGCGCTGTCTTAGGCGTCTCACAGTACGGACATTGCCATTTATTGCCCTGGCCACATCTGCAGTCCTCATGCCTCCTTGCAGCATGCCTAAGGCGCGTTCACGCAGATGAGCAGGGACCCTGGGCATCTTTCTTTTGGAGTCAGTAGAAAGGCCTCTCTTAGTGTCCTAGATTTTCATAACTGTGACCTTAATTGCCTACCGTCTGTAAGCTGTTAGTGTCTTAACGACCGTTCCACAGGTGCATGTTCATTAATTGTTTATGGTTAATTGAAAAAGCATGGTAAACAGTGTTTAAACCCTTTACAATGAAGATCTGTGAAGTTATTTGGATTTTTACGAATTATCTTTGAAAGACAGGGTCCTGATAAAGGGACGTTTCTTTTTTTGCAGAGAGATATATATATATATTCCCAATAAAAGGAAATATATATATATTCCCAATAAAAGGAAATATATATATATATTCCCAATAAAAGGAAATATATATATATATATATATATATATATATATCCAATAAAAGGAAATATATATATATATATATTCCCAATAAAAGGAAATATATATATATTCCCAATAAAAGGAAATATATATATATATTCCCAATAAAAGGAAATATATATATATATATATATATATATATCCAATAAAAGGAAATATATATATATATATATTCCCAATAAAAGGAAATATATATATATATATATTCCCAATAAAAGGAAATATTTTTTGCTCATATGATTTTTTTAAACAAGTCGTTTGCAGTAGGCAGTGCCGTTAGTAAGTTAACTGTGATATGATCAAAGTTAATCAATGTGATTTTTCCATAAATAGACATTTAGTTCTCCATGGAATCTTATCTATTTTTGCAAACTTTCTATTGAAATTGATTGTGGTAAGTTCATTTATATTTTTTGAGATGTGAATACCAAGTATGTCTACTTCACAATCTGCCCATTTTATTGGTAAATTAGTAGTAGTGTAAACACTGTCTTTTAACAATCAATACGTAATATGGTACAGTTGTCATAATTAGGTTTTAGTCCAGAGAGGCTAGAAAAGTGATCAAGATCGTCAATTAGACTGCAGGGATCCAGATTGCGGACTTAAGAAAAAAACTTCAGTCATCACATTGACACTTGTTTTTGTTTTTATCCCCTGGATTTCTAACACCTTGATGTTCTTGGTGGATCTAATTTTAATAGCTAGCATTTCAATGGCCATAATAAATAGATATGGAGACAACGGACAGCCTTGTTTTACTCCTCTTAAAAGCTCAATACTTTCTGAGAAGTAACCATTATTTACTATTTTACATCTGGGGTTGATGTACATAACTTTAACCCATTGTGTAAGAGATTCACCGAAATTAAAGTAATCCAGGCATTTATATATAAATTCTAGTCTTACTTTATCAAACGCCTTTTCAAAATCTGCTATGAAGACCAGGCCTGGTATCTTTTGATGTTTCATAATGTTCAATTGTTTCAAGTAATTGTCGTATATTGTCCAGGTAAAAAACCTGTCTGATCAGGATGAACAATATCTGGTAAAACCTTTTTTATTCTGTGCTATGCATTTTGCCAGGATTTTCGCATCACAACATTGAAGTGTAAGAGGCCTCCAGTTTTCTTCAGTTTTAGTGACTACTTAAGTGTTGTAGCTAATGTTGCACGGTATTCCGGCGCCACGGTAATATCGCGGTACCAAAATGTCATGATACCTATGATAGCAACTTTTTTATATACTGTAGTACAGTTTCATATGATACTACTAAATTGTTCTGCCCTACCAATCTAAAGAACCCGCTAAATGTTTTATAAAGTCAGTTTTGTTTATACATTCAGTTAAACAAATTTAAGCAACAGCCACTAGTCTCTTGTATGCGCCGGTCCAGTAATATCCACTTCACTTTCATACACATATCGTATCACGTGTGGGAGCTGTAATCAGCCAGCCATCATCCTCTTCTTGCCATCACTCACCTGCATCTCTCTGTCCGCTCTTCATGCACATCTATTCCTCAATCAGTTTTTAAAATATAATTTAGCTGTGATGGCGAGTGGGGATGCAGTTACATTTGTGTATTTGATACATTGGAACAGCATGCAGAGCGAGCAAAGTTGATACTTTGTATAATTTCAACCCTGGTATAACCAAGAGCACAGGCCAGTTTCAGTACGCTTTGCAAGTACGCTGTCACGCAGCCTCTGAGTGCCAGGGAGGACAAATGGAGCACAACAGTGCGACAGGCATGCTTGTCTCTAGCTCAAACGGTAAAAAAATATATGACCCATATTACCAACACTATCTTTTTTTCTTCCTGTGCGATTTCGCACGCATTTGATGTAATTTCACAAACCATGTTGCGGGCTGTTTTTTTAAACTAATCCAGAGTTTGCTAATTAGAATAGCCATGGAGTAGTCTTGTTGTCTCGGAACAGTTGGTTATCAATGTACATTTAATCGAATACAAGAGGTACACGTTTCCCTTTAAGTCTATTCACCTTGAAGAGTGTGTACAGAACTTTGCGCCATTCTGCAATTTCTTTCGGGAACTGATCATTCATTCCTATTTTCGTGCCAGCAAGTCTTTTTTTTAAATCCAGGCTTTAAACATTATTTTAGCTTTAAAGAATGCAAATTTGGCAACTATTGGGCGCTCGCATCGCTGTCCTCTTTGTCCGAAATGGTGTACACGTTCGTGTTTAATTTTGTCGACAGTATCGCCTGGGATCTGTAGCACTTTTAAGAAGGAATTCTTTCACCACGCTTTCAGGGTCTTCACCCCAATTTTTTTTAAATACCAGTAAGTACCAGATTTTCTCGCATGGATCTATTCTGTATTCATAGAAAGGCTTCTCTCAGAAACATGCTCTCCTTTTTAAGTTCTTTAACGTCCGTTTCAATAGTATTGACTCTTTTAGCTTGTTTCTTTCTCCATTGTCGCAGCTTTTTCGTCACTCATTTCGAGGCTCGCCTTCATCTCCTTTATTTCTTTACTTTAGTTCAAGTACGCCCAATTTATCATTTATTGATTTTAGCAGGTCGGTTTCCACTCTTGGCGTACCAGGTGGTGAAAAGCATAAATCATCGGTGTCTATCGAGGAATCACGTAGCCTTCTCTTGGTTTGGTTCTCTATTTCTTTTTTTTGTGTTCCTTTCCGACATGTTTTGGCTTTGACTGTGTTCGTAATATTCAGCAATAAAGTTCTCTAGCCTTATACGTTTTTTGGGGTTATTGTCCAGCTTGAATGTTATTGCCCACGAGAAAATAGATCAGTGTTGTGCTACTATTTAGTCAGTTTTAGAGATAATGAATATTGCGATTTCTAATGAGGCATTCTGCACCACTATCTTCAGTCCACCATCACTGCCACAACCTTACGAATGTAAGGTGTTAGTAAAATGTTGGTATCGTGACAACACTAGTTCTAGCTATAAACCAGCACAGCTGTTCTATTCTGTTTGACGCTCATTCCTAAAACGTGCAGAATTTCAGTTCCTCCTCTTTTGTTCCCATTGCAGGTGAACATGCTGCGGAAGGGCTTCGGGGAGGTGGGGGACCCTAAAGGAGGCAGCACAGGGACGACCAGCGGCTCCCAGTTCTTGGAGCAGTTTAAGACGGCCCAGGCCTTGGCCCAGCTGGCCGCCCAGCAGTCCCAGACAGGACAGCCCAACCCCACCCCCTCTTCCTGGGACACCAGCTCCGCAGCGCTAGGCCAGTATGGTAAGAGGAGATATACTGGGACCGTAGGGGTAGTTTGTATGGTTTTCAAGTAAAGTAGGGGGTGTACATAGAGGCTATACTAATTTGGGTTTGCAGAGCATTTGAAATGCCTACATGACTGGTATTGTTTCTGGTTATGAAGAGGAGATATCTTAAATGCCCTATGCAGGGTTCAGAATCTGATGTTAAAAAAAAAAAAAAAAATGTTTTATAGCCATCAGGTGCAGGCCCTACCTTCCTTTCTCCCATCCCCTTCTCTCCCCCCAGACATGAAGGCCCAGCCGGAGCCTGCGGTCCACAGCCCCTTCACCAAGCGCCATCCCTACCAGCCCACCACCTCTGTGTTGGATGCCTTCCTCCCCCCTTCCTCAGTCTCCTCCTCCCTGCCCTCACAGAGCACCCCATCGTCCCACATGGCGCACCCCGCGTCTGCCCTCCCGAAGATGACGGTGCCCCCCCTGCGGCAGCAGGTGTCACCTGGCTCATCGGACGCCCAGGGCTCCAGCCCCCTGCCATTGCAGCAGCACAAGCTCAAGCAACAGAAGAAGAGGACCTCCATCACCACCAAGGTAACAGCTCAACACTGATACAAGGACAATGTAAACCGAGTGAATGGCCGGTCACGCTGCGCCCAACTTCGAATTATTTTCGATAGTTAACACTTGCTCACTCACAGCAAACAGTGAGCACACATTCACTTTACTTTCATCACTCTGTTAGCCTAACACCTATGTATCCCTCCCTACCTCTCTTTACTTTTTCATAACTTAATTACCTTGCTGTCCCTGACATTAACCATATCTTTATGATATTTGATTCCAGATTCCAGCGATGGCGGTGGAGATGCCTGGCTCGGCAGACATCTCTGGGCTGAACCTGCAATTTGGAGCACTGCAGTTTGGCTCTGAACCTGTGCTCCAGGAGTACGACAGCACCCCAACCACCACCACACCAGGAAGCCAGGTTCAGAACAGCCTCTACACAAGCCCCAGCTGGTGAGCACACATCTGTCATACCAGACACTGCAAAATTGGTGTAAGATATGGGTCTTCTACAACTACAACACCACACACAGACCCATGTGTAGCATCTCTGTCACTTGGGCCCACTTGAGCTTTGACACTGGACACCTTCTCTTTTCTCAAAGTAGCCCTATGGCTTTATCTAATCTCCCTGCTTCTTCTCCTCCAGTGATGCGATTCCCTCCCTCTCCAACCCCAGTCAGATGGACATGTACGACCAGAGGGCTCCCCAGGCCCGGCGCTACCCCACCCCCGTCTCCTCCCCGCAGAAAGACATGCAGAACAAGGTGAGCCTCCATTCATTCCTCCATTCATATTGCTCTGCCTCCTTGAGATTCATTCCTCTATTCATATTGCTTTGATTCTTAGAGAAATAAGAAATAAAGTAATTGCTCTGTTTTTCACTTTTCTTTGATTGGCTCCCTCTGTTATTGAATGAACTGTTGCTATGGAAACTACTCCCCTAAATTAGTGTACCCTAACAAGCCCACCTGAACTTGTGTTTTTTCAGAATGGATTCAATTCAATACAGACGCATTCTGTGGAAGGTGAGTCATTTTGGTAGCTGTGTGGGTTTGCAGTGAATGAAGTCTGAATATGTGGTGGTCATGGCAACCGTGTGACGTGGTAATCCACTAACAAGCATTGTAATGCATTTCAAAAATCTAATCACATTTTATTTGTCACATGCGCTGAATACAACAGGTGTAGACCTTAACGTGAAATGCTTACTTACAAGCCCTTAACCAACAATGCAGTTCAAGAAATAGTTAAGAAAATATTTACTAAATAAACAAAAGTTTTAAAAAATTATCAAAAAGTTACACGTAAATTACATAACAATAACGGGGCTATATACAGGGGGTATACCGAGTCAAAGTGCAGGGGTACAGGTTTGTCGAGGTAATTTGTAAAGTGAAAATGCATAGATAATAAACAGGGTGACTGGAGTCTTTGACAATTTTTTGGGCCTTCCTCTGACACCGCCTAGTATATACACTACCGTTCAAAAGTTTGGGGTCACTTAGAAATGTCGTTGTTTTCGAAAGAAAAGCAATTTTGTTGTCCATTAAAATAACATCAAATTGATCAGAAAATAGTGTAGACATTGTTAATGTTGTAAATGGCTATTGTAGCTGGAAACGGCTGATTTTGATTTTTAATGGAATATCTACATAGGTGTACAGAGGCCCATTATCAGCAACCATCAGTCCTGTGTTCCAATGGCACGTTGTTTGCTAATCCAAGTTGATCATTTTAAAAGGCTAATTGATCATTAGAAAAACCTTTTGCAATTATGTTAGCACAGCTGAAAACTGTTGTGCTGCTTAAAGAAGCAATAAAACTGGCCTTCTTGAGACTAGTTGAGTATCTGGAGCATCAGCAATTGTGGGTTCGATTACAGGCTCACTGCCAGGTCTCTGACCTCCAAACTTGATAATGGTGTTGGAGTCATGCTTGGCCACGCAGTCGTGGGTCAACAGGGAGTACAGGAAGGGACTAAGCACGCACCCCTGAGGGGCCCCAGTGTTGAAGATCAGCGTAGCAGATGTGTTGTTGCCTACCCTTACCACCTGGGGGCGGCCCGTCAGGAAGTCCAGGATCCAGTTGCAGAGGGAGGTGTTTAGCCCAGGTTCCTTAGCTTAGTGATGAGCTTTGTGGGCACTATGGTGTTCCTGGATGTAGGTTAAGTACTCGGGAACCATGCCTGTTATTTTGTGGTCCTCTATTAGTATTTTACGGCTATTCATTCAGTGTCCCTTAAAGCGGATACAGTTTGGAATGGCAATCTGCCCAATTAGACAGTGTGTATTGTAGAGCTGTCGTCCATTTGGGTTGGCACTAATCCCAGAATCTCTCTCTATATTTCTCTCCCTCTATGTCCTTTCTGTCTCTCTGTCCAGCTGCAGCAGGCTCTGCAGTGTCTGTGAAGTTGGCCTCTGATTCGGCCACGCCCGCGTCAGTCTCCATGGCTACATTGACGGACAGTGGCTCAGGGCCCGCGTCCTTGTTGAGCACATCCAATCAGTCGTCGCACAGCACTCTGGGGCACAATGAAGACTTGCCCCCGAATACCATGCCCCCGCCTCAGCACAGCAAGTAAGATGGCACCCTGAATGGTTTGAACGAAGGGCTTGAGTGATTTGAAGAGTTTGGATTGTAGTAGTGCCAGTGGATAGTGGTTCTTTATTCAACTAAATTGATAATGGACGATCGGTTGTTCTTTCTCCAGTTCCCTTTCTACACAACAGAACAGTCTCGCTCAATCCCAAGTCCGCACATCCAACGCCAGTCTAATGGTGAGTGTGTGTGAGATAGAAGAGAGTGCATTTCCTATGATGGAGGATACATCAAATACTTCTTAATCTAACCTAGTGGGTATTTAATCTTGTTTACCATAACCATCTCCTCTTCTCTCCATTCATCCATCCTGACAGCACCAGAGAGTAGACGACTCCAGCTTGCACTCTTCCTCCTTCCCTTCCTCTGTCTCGGTGGTCCCCTCTTCCTCGGTCCCCTCTTCCTCGTCGGTGGTTGCAGCAGCGCATCAGGTCTCCATGGGGGCCCCTCAGCCCTCTTCAGTGAACACAGTGTCTCAGTCAGCCCCCTCAGGCCTGGGCCCCGTCAGCAGCCTAGCAGCCATGGGCCTCCACACAGCAGCCTCCATGGGACCTCCAGCTGTAGCCTCGGCAGCCATGTCCACAGCAGCACAAGCCCAGGCTATCGCTTCCTCCGCCTCCTCACGCAGCTCTGCAGTCTCCTCAGGTTAGAGGGGTTGTTGGTTAAGGGGATTGCGTCCCAAATGGCACCCTGTTCCCTATATAGTGCACTACTTTTGACTGGAGCCCTATGGGCCCTGGTCTAATGTAGTGCACTATATAGGGAATAGGGTGCCATTTGGGATGCAGCCGGGGGTCTGTGGTTTAGATTTGAGATGTGATGGGGTGTGTTGTATATGTTTAGTTTTTTCTAATACAATAATTTCCATCCTATTATTTCATATGTTTTGTCTTTTGTTTCTGCTGGTCTCTTTACAGGGAAAGCACCTCCTAACCTTCCTCCTGGAGTGCCCCCTCTGCTGCCCAACCCATACATTATGGCCCCCGGACTACTGCACGCCTACCCTGTAAGTACTCCTCACTGTCTCTGTCAACTAAACCTGCCTTTAGGTCATGGAAATCATGAGGTCTATCTAAGTGTGAGTGACCGCCTATATCTGCGCATATCGTCCAAAATTCTATATTCTGTTTTTTACACTTTTTATAAAAGTTCATATTTAGAGCTTCGTAATGGTATACTGCAATTGGAGGGAAAATCCCAACTTTTTTTCTCCCTTTCTATTGTCGTCTCACCGCCTTGTGTGTCTCAGCCTCAGGTGTACGGCTATGATGACCTACAGATGCTCCAGACTAGAATACCACTGGTGAGTCTAAGCTATCTGGATGTAACCCGTCCATGTGTGGACTGGCCAAATATGACTTTTACTAGTAACTCTAACAACAGCTGCAAACTGTTATTTGAAGAAGTGAACAACTGTTCTTGGAACTCTCATTTGTTTCCAGGAACTTTGCTATGTTGCGACGTGATGAAAATGGGATGTAGTCTGATAGTCCTTTCGTACTAGTAAAAACTGAGCCTCTTCTGTCTTCTCAGGATTACTACAGCATCCCGTTTGCCACCCCCAACACAGCACTGACTGGCAGAGATGGCAGCCTGAGCAACAACCCTTACTCTGGTAACCACCACTCTAACCCCCATCTATGATGTCTTACTCTACTTTCCTAATCTATGGATTATGTACAGAGTGCTAACACAGTGAATGGAGGGGTTTGGTGTTGGGAACAAACACGCATCAGTTGACCCTGTCCTGCGTCTCCATGGCGATGCAGGGGGACAGTGGCGTGTTAGAACAATGTGCAGCCGGCACCAGATACAGTCAGACCTTGTGACTGACTGGAACTGATACGCTGCTACGTTATTGTCCATTGTACTGCTGTAATAACTGATCTCAGTGAATCGCATTACCGTTGCTTGAACACAATGGACATTATTGTCACATTTTCTCACTCATCTCCTCCTTCCCCTCATCCCCCTTTCACTCACCTTTTTCACACTTTACCTTTTTCTTTGCCATTCCCCTCCGGCAGGTGACTTATCAAAGTTTGGTCGAGGTGACGCGTCGTCCCCGGCGCCGGCCACCACAATGGCCCAGCAGACACAGCAGAACCAGAGCCAGACGCATCACACCACGCAGCAGCCTTTCCTTAACCCAGCGCTTCCCCCCGGCTACAGCTACACCAGCCTGCCCTACTACACCGGCGTGCCGGGCCTGCCCAACACCTTCCAGTATGGCCCCGCCATGTTCCCGGTGAGATTTCACATGCTTTGTCTGGGTGTTGTTTTGGATGTTTTTTAAAAAATTATATTAAGTTTATGAAGTTAACAAGAGTATGTTCTCCTGATACATGTAGAAATGCATGTTGTGCAAATGCATTTTGTAATATGACATGCAAACTGTCCTAATTTATAATTGGGGCACAAATGTACTACAAACAGTTTTTCACTTCAATTGTGAGAATTCAGTATGCTGTAAAAGGAATTGAAATAGCATGTGATAGCAGCTGATATTTTAAATACGCTAGACAACTAATTGTATTAGTTTCACCTCTAACCTGTCTGTGTGTTTCTAGGTGGCTCCTACCTCGTCGAAGCAGCACGGTGTGAACGTTGGAGTCAATGCCTCGGCAACTGCCTTCCAGCAGGCCAGCGGCTACGGTTCCCATGGTTACAACACTGGTATGACTCAACACACACCCCGAGGACACACCCTGTGGAACGGCATCTGTTCAGGGGTCTTTCAGTTCAACTCTTTACACTGTACATACTGATAGAATGGCTATCAACACTGCATGCAACTGACAGTCAGTTTAGTTGACAATGTGTGCTTTCACGTTTATATTTAATAAGCCTCTCACATTCAAAGGTTTGTTGGGTTTGAATGCAACATTTGCCTGTGCCTAAGCCTGCTAAGGCTGACATTGCCCACATTACCTGTCTACATCAACCGCTCTTCAACATGGTTAGTGGATGAAACGGCACTAACTCCAACCTTTCTAATCAGGCATGCATAGCCACATCAGGGTTTCCGTTAGCCGGTAATAGCCGGCTTTTGGCCGTTCAAAAATGGAAAAGCTGATTAATAAAATTAGCAACGGCCAATTGTCCGGGAGAAGAGAGATCCCACTGTTAAGTAATGTTTTTTTGCCTATTCATTGATGGAAATGCCAGTTGATGTAAATACATTTGACCGGTCATGCTTATCGGTCTATGGGTTAATTTGCATAATTATGTAGAATAAAATTGGCGTGTGTGTATATTCGTTATGTATCTTATCACATGCAGAGACAGCATACAGATACAGAGCCTTTGAGCGGAAAATCTGTCAGACAGCTCTTTTATAAGCCCACTGATTGCGCAACAATTCTAAATGCAATCGTGTGTTAAATTTTTTTTGTTGGGCCACGATTTAAGAGCAATTTTTATTTCTCAACTGGTAATTGAAGCGCGCTTCGCTTTGAGCTGGAGGCAGTATGCATTTTGAAAACATATATAGTTACTTAATTGTTTGAAATCTGAACATTTTACTACAAATTTATGAGGTATGTTTTACCTTGCTTCAAAAGTAGCCTAGGCAAAATCCGACCATATCCGTGGAGGCAATTATTTTATAAAGACTTCCATATGACATTGAAACCAGTAGCCTATTTCTCTCATGTTCTATTGGTTTTCAACTTTCTTTCATTGTCCGGTAGCCAAATGTTCATTCGCGCGTTGCCTACTGCCTGGTGCGCATTGCTGTGCTAATAATGTTAAGAAATTGTGTATCAACATTTTAAGCTAAACGTTCAGATCTGTTGCATCAGATTCATTGCTTTAAAAAAGTATATATGTTGCCGAGGCCTACTGGTTGTATGAACTTTGGATCTATCGTCCCACAACTGTCCCAGGGTCTGATTGGCCTATTTCTTTCTGGACAAGTGAAACTTTTCTACTATGGGGACTAGTAGATTGACATGGCTCATAAGCGGCGCATCCATAAGCCTAGGGGAAGCTTTCCTTAAGTACATTTGATTCAATTGCCAAAATTATGTAGCCTAATTAGCCTACTCCTGTCTATACAGAAAGAAATAAAATCATTCAAAATATGCTACTAAAGCATGAACATACAGTGGGGGAAAAAAGTATTTAGTCAGCCACCAATTGTGCAAGTTCTCCCACTTAAAAAGATGAGAGAGGCCTGTAATTTTCATCATAGGTACACGTCAACTATGACAGACAAATTGAGTAAAAAAAATCCAGAAAATCACATTGTAGGATTTTTAATGAATTTATTTGCAAATTATGGTGGAAAATAAGTATTTGGTCACCTACAAACAAGCAAGATTTCTGGCTCTCACAGACCTGTAACTTCTTCTTTAAGAGGCTCCTCTGTCCTCCACTCGTTACCTGTATTAATGGCACCTGTTTGAACTTGTAATCAGTATAAAAGACACCTGTCCACAACCTCAAACAGTCACACTCCAAACTCCACAATGGCCAAGACCAAAGAGCTGTCAAAGGGCACCAGAAACAAAATTGTAGACCTGCACCAGGCTGGGAAGACTGAATCTGCAATAGGTAAGCAGCTTGGTTTGAAGAAATCAACTGTGGGAGCAATTATTAGGAAATGGAAGACATACAAGACCACTGATAATCTCCCTCGATCTGGGGCTCAACACAAGATCTCACCCCGTGGGGTCAAAATGATCACAAGAACGGTGAGCAAAAATCCCAGAACCACACGGGGGGACCTAGTGAATGACCTGCATAGAGCTGGGACCAAAGTAACAAAGCCTACCATCAGTAACACACTACGCCGCCAGGGACTCCAATCCTGCAGTGCCAGACGTGTCCCCCTGCTTAAGCCAGTACATGTCCAGGCCCGTCTGAAGTTTGCTAGAGTGCATTTGGATGATCCAGAAGAGGATTGGGAGAATGTCATATGGTCAGATGAAACCAAAATAGAACTTTTTGGTAAAAACTCAACTCGTCTTGTTTGGAGGACAAAGAATGCTGAGTTGCATCCAAAGAACGCCATATCTACTGTGAAGCATGGGAGTGGAAACATCATGCTTTGGGGCTGTTTTTCTGCAAAGGGACCAGGACGACTGATCCGTGTAAAGGAAAGAATGAATGGGGCCATGTATCGTGAGATTTTGAGTGAAAACCACCTTCCATCAGCAAGGGCATTGAAGATGAAACGTGGCTGGGTCTTTCAGCATGACAATGATCCCAAACACACCGCCCGGGCAACGAAGGAGTGGCTTCGTAAGAAGCATTTCAAGGTCCTGGAGTGGCCTAGCCAGTCTCCAGATCTCAACCCCATAGAAAATATTGGGCCAAAATACCAGCAACAGTGTGTGAAAACCTTGTGAAGACTTACAGAAAACGTTTGACCTGTGTCATTGCCAACAAAGGGTATATAACAAAGTGTTGAGAAACTTTTGTTATTGACCAAATACTTATTTTCCACCATAATTTGCAAATAAATTCATTAAAAATCCTACAATGTGATTTTCTGGAGAAAAACAATTCTCATTTTGTCTGTCATAGTTGACGTGTACCTACGATGAAAATTACAGGCCTCTCTCATCTTTTTAAGTGGGAGAACTTGCACAATTGGTGGCTGACTAAATACTTTTATTCCCCACTGTAAATTCTCAACTTAATTGAACGAAAAACAGTCGGCCTTTTGTTATTGGCACCAGTGGAGAGCATTGGCCATATCCCCTGTGAGTGCGCACTGCACATATTTACTCCTTATCCTTGTTCGACTTAAGTTTGTTTTTGGACAATAATTTCCTCCTCCAGTTTAGATGGACGTCATATTCTATTTGTCTCTTCTCCTCGTAGGCCTATTATATGGACAACATTGTTTTTATTGGTATGTTTGTCAGTGTTAGCAGAGTAGGCTATCCTGTAATTTGTCGTATTAAAACATAGTTTTAATGTCTCCAGTCATATAAAGTGTAGTAGAATTTGCATGAAATGTGTTTTTCCCGTGCAAAGAAAGAAACGTATCTACTATAGCGCAGGCCTCTACGCTATACATGCTCAGCCATGCATTGAAGTCTTTTTTGAGAACAGTGATTGAGTTATATTATTAGCCTAAATTACGACTGTCCAATCTACTCATCACATTACAAATAGTAGGCCATCTTACATAAGTCTGCAAATGCGATGATACATGGGATGCTTTATTATAAAGGTGCATTTTTATGGTGAAAATTTGCTTCCCCAAACTTGAAACTCAAGCGCGCCTATGCATAGTCTAGGGATTTTGCTGTTCGTTACTCATCTTGTTGGCTGAGGAAAAGTAAATAGTTATTCTAACATGTTCATTCTAACAAGGACACACGTCGTTGCATCTTTGACTTGCATGTTATGTTAAGATTAATTACCATAATATACATTTGATTTCTGTCATTTTGAGCACTGTGGGTGGACACCCTAATCAGGTTATGCCCCCAATGCATATGGGTCCTTCTAAACGTATCAAATGTCCGGTAAATAAAAATGCTCCTGGTCAATTGTCCGGCACCACATTTTCATAACGGGAAACCCTGAGCCACAGTCACTGATGTTGTTGACCAGCTGGTATGGAGCGGTTTCTGTTACTTGGAGACAAACTGCCTGCTGCCGTTGTTACCAACAAACCATTCTAACCCACCAAACCTGGGTGCTGTCTGGTATGGGCCAGCTAAAGAGTGATCAGGGACCAATATTGATTATTACTTCGAGCGCTCCATGTGATTTCTTGGGGATTCTTTTGATTTTTTTTGCAGGGTGTGCATTTGTGAAAACTTAAAAAGTTTCAAACACTGAAATGGGAGTGGAAATGGGAGTTGTATGATTCTACAACTCTCACCATTCTTTTGAATGGGGAAGGATATCTAGTTTACCCTTGTTTGTACCTTTTGTTAGTACAGTAATATGTTCTATTTGAGTTGTTTTCGAGTGGAAAAGTGGACTGTATTGATGGCCCTCCTACTACATATATTACGGGGGAGTAGGGTGGTGGGTGTTCTGTTGCTGTTGCCTATCATTGCATGCTTCTGCTCATTCAACAACTGGAGTTGGGCTTCTGGCTATACCTTCCACCCCATCCCACATGGAGGTCATCTTAAACTTCCATGTCTCCACCCCCATTTCTCCAACGCTATCCTTCCATTGTCCTATCTCTCCCTCTATCCACTTGGTCACACAGCACCTCTGTTATCTGCACCACCTTTTGCTTCCTGCCTCCGCCCGACCGACCGCCCACCCCCCCTGCCTGACACCCCCGACCCCTAACCTTGCCTGGTGTGTCTAACGCTGTGGGCTGCGGCTGTGTGTCTGACTGTTTCAGGCTATGAGGATATGGGCCAGGCTTCAGGGAGTGGGGATTTCTGTAAGGGTGGATACGGCACTGCCGTGGCCGCCGTCGCTTCTGCGCAAAACAAGCAAGCCAGCTCTGTCAGCGGGCCTGGAGTCGGTGAGTGCCGCCACACACCAACCCTCCCCTCCTCCTTCCTCCCTCGCGCCGTCATCACCTCCATCCTCCTTAACCTCATCGCTGCTTACTGTCCGCACCACACAAATGCCCAATAAGCAGTCAACTGCCACCCTCTGTCTGCCTCCATGCCCCAGTACTAATCATCATTGGGCACCAAGGTGCTGTAGCACTTCACAGAAGATTCAAATAATCAAAGCTTGATGATGAGTTGTATTTGAATCAGCTGTGTTGTGCTAGGACAAAAAATAGTGTGCACCCCTTGGGTCCCCAGGACCAAGTTTGGAAAACACTGCCATAGAGGCTAACTGAGTGTTTATGTTCAATTCTTACATTTCTAAAGCAGTGCGAGCAAGCTAATGGAGCGCTAACTAGCTAGCTGCTAACCAATGAACAGTTGATGAGTAGCCCTGGTCCATGCACTCTGTGCTGCCAGCTTTCCACCCACGTGTGCTTGCTTAAATGTGTTAGTGTCAGAAGTACCTCTCTACCCACTGTCCTGTGTGGTTGACACAGGATACACACCCCAAGGGTGGTGAACGAGTGACAAAATGGAGGCCCTGCCTGTTGAACTGCCATGCTCTGAAATGGGGACAGGAGACTATGGGGTGTGAAGGTAGCATGTTTACAAAGTGATACTCTCCCTCAAACTCAATATATTCTGTCTCAACTACAGCAGATAAAAACTAATGTATTTTTTTATGTAGATAAAGTGAATTTCCTGAGTTTGATGTTAATGCTAGGTATCGGTAAACTGGAGTTGTCGTGTGAGTCACCGCCTGAGGTTAGAATGTCAGGGTTTAGTTGACCCTGTCCTGCGATTCCATGGCGATACAGGGGGACTAACATAATGTAGCAGGCGTAAAAGAAACGCCTGACTGGGTTCGGAAGAAACCGGAAGCATCCGGTTTTCAGGCTTGCGCCTCTTCTCTGCGTTTCCCCTGAACCGGATGTTTCCAGTTTCTTCCGTCAGCAGAGCGTGCAGGGGGACAGTTGTGTGCTAGAACAATACGTAGCCGCCACCAGACAGTCAGACCCTCATCGCCGTTGCTGACTGGAACTGATACACTGACACATCTTTCTTTGTATCCTCCTTTTCGTTTTCCTCTCCTCCATCTCATCCTGTCATTCCCCCGCTGCCTTTTTTTGCTCTCCTTCCCTTACATTGATGCATCTGATACTGTATATTAGCATCTAGTGACCATCTTCTCGAAAGTGCTGTATTGCTCCTATACAGCCTTGTACTGAGTTTCAATCCAAGGTGTATAGATGGAGATGGGTTACCTGACAACATCACAAAATCAATGTCTGAGTTTTAGGAGCAAATCAAACCATGTACAATGCATCCTATAGGAGCGATAATGGTAGCCTATAAGAGCAAATCATGTGCAAGCCATTATAGCTATAGGAATGGTATTAGAGCAAATCATGTACAAGCCTTTTTGTTTCTGTGTGGAGTTTCTCACCCAGTACCTAATTAGAATGTGATGTATGTTTGACAGAATTACTTTCCATCTAGAAACTGCTGCCTTAATCCCGGACCACTCTGTGGCTCTGACTCCCAGGGGTTTCCATGCCTCTCCTGCAGGGGTTGTGACCTGTAGACATGTGAAGTAAATGTGTCCGAACCCCTTTGTTTCCTCTGCAGGAGTCTCGGTGACGTCAAGCAACACGGGGGTCCCAGACATTTCAGGGTCTGTTTACACAAAGACACAGCAGGTGAGAATGATGCTACAGTGGTATAAACACTATAATAAAATATTATGTTCTGAAACATACGGAAAGGATATGACAACCAGTGTCTGTATAAAATGTTGTTTGTACAAAAACAAGTGTAAAAACCGCAGACTAGAAAAGTCAGGCGTCCGACCTTGTTGTGTTAATCCCTCCAGCAGCAGTCTTTTGAGAAGCAGCAGGGTTTCCACGCTGGTACACCGGCAGCTTCCTTCAGCCTGCCCTCTGCCCTGGGCGGCGGTGGTCCCATCAACCCGCCAGCCGCGGCTGGTTACGCTCCAGCTCCCTTCATGCACATCCTGGCACCGCACCAGCAGCCCCACTCGCAGATCCTGCACCACCATCTGCAGCAGGACGGACAGGTACGGTGTGTGTGAAGGCGCGTGTGTGTCACACTGTATCTTGGAGAGAAATATTTGGCACAGGTTACCTTGCATTATGGTCTCTTCCTATCTTCTCTTCTAACAGAGTGGTGGCACTGGACAGCGTAGCCAGAATGCTTCGCTTCAACAGAAGACCCAGATCAACAAGTCTGCATACAACAGCTACAACTGGGGGGCCAACTAACACCCACCCATCATCCAGCCCCCTGTCCCCACAAATGGTCTCCATATAACCCCCTCTCCTACAGAGATCCCCTCCCCATTCTCTCGGCTCAGCACACGGCAGTACTCACCACTGCCACGGGTGGCGCTGTGCTGAGAGGGAAAGCACTAGTGTGGCGAGGAGAGTAGGGGGACAGTCTTAAAAGAGAGGGGGGTGGAGTTAAATGGTTATAGTAACAGATCGTTAAGAGCGGAGTATTGTTTGGAATTTTGTATTGTGTTCAACCCCCCTCCCTTTCACTCTGTTGTATTTAACATAGAACTGTTTTCTAAAAGAACGAATGTTTTTGTTTTTACTGAAGGTGGGGGACAGGCTGGTTTTCTATTTCTCACCCTCTCCCCTCACCCCCTTATTCCCACCCTATACCCAAACACAGATTATGTTTTTCCTTTGTTTCCCATTTGGTTTTTACAAAATTTTAGTTTCACTAATGGATTCTCTAAATTGACAGAGCAGTTGTGAAGTTTATTTTTTACCATAAAGATATATAGATCTGGATCTAAATATAGATATCTATATTGTGTGTGTACACTGGGGGTCCCTCAAACTCATATCATGTGAAATTATTTCCAATTTTATGTTGCAAAGTAGCTTTACCCCTGATTTAAACGTTTTTTACATTTGTAGATTCTGGAGTACAAAATTACATTGTACGAGAGGCCAGGGCACACCCTTACCTACCTATAAGTTGAGTTATTTTTCTAATCCCCATTACACGCTCACTCCACCACCTGTCCCCCCCAATATATTATTAGGAAACCTGCAGAAATGATTACTGATGGACAGTTTTACTGTTAGTTTTTTTGTCAGTGATTTTCTTTTTGTACTGTGTGTTTTAAAATGTTTTTTTTTTTTTTATGGATGAGTGTGTGTACATATACACTACATGGCCAAAAGTATGTGGACACCTATTCATATTATTGGATGTGGCTATTTCAGCCGCACCTGTGGCTGACAGGTGTATAAAATCGAGCACACAGCCATTCAATCTCCATAGACAAACATTGACAGTAGAATGGCCCGTACTGAAGAGCTCAGTGACTTTCAATGTGGCACCGTCATAGGATGCCACTTTTCCAACAAGTCAGTTCGTAAATTTCTGCCCTGCTAGAGCTGCCCCGGTCAACTGTAAGTGCTGTTATTGTGAAGTGGAAACATCTAGGAGCAACAACGGCTAAGCCGCGACGTGGTAGGCCACACAAGTTCACAGAACGGGACCACAGAGTGCTGAAGCGCGTACACATAAAAATCGCCTGTCCTCGGTTGCAATGCTCACTACTGTTCCAAACTGCCTCTGGAAGCAACGTCAGCAGAAAAACTGTTCGTCGGCGCTTCATGAAATGGGTTTCCGTGGTCGAGCAGCCGCACACAAGCCAAAGATCACCATGCGCAATGCCAAGTGTCGGCTGGAGTGGTGTAAAGCTCGCCGCCATTTGACTCTGGAGCAGTGGAAATGCGTTCTCTGGAGTGATGAATCACGCTTCACCGTCTGGCAGTCCGACGGACAAATCTGTGTTTGGCGGATGCCAGGAGAACGCTACCTGCCCAAATGCATAGTGCCATCTGTAAAGTTTGGTGGAGGAGGAATAATGGTCTGGGGCTGTTTTTCATGGTTTGGGCCACTTAGTTCCAGTGAAGGAAAATATTAACGCTACAGCATACAATTACATTCTAGACGATTCTGTACTTCCAACTTTGTGGCAACAGTTTGGGGAAGGCCCTTTCCTGTTTCACCATGACAATGCCTCCCTGCACAAAGCGAGGTAAATACAGAAATGGTTTGTCGAGATCAGTGTGGAAGAACTTGACTGGCCTGCACAGAGCCCTGACCTCAACCCCCATCGAACACCTTTGGGATGAATTGGAACGCCGACTGTGAGCCAGGCCTAATCGCCCAACATCAGTGCCCGACCTCAATAATGCTCTTGTGGCTGAATGGAATCAAGTCCCCTCAGCAATGTTCCAGCATCTAGTGGAAAGCCTTCCCAGAAGAGTGGAGGCTGTTGTAGCAGCAAAGGGGTGACCAACTCCATATGAATGCCCATGATTTTGGAATGAGATGTTCAAGCAGGTGTCCATATACTTTTTGCCATGTAGTGTATATCACTCACAAGTACTGTAGTCCTTGTTTGTTCAATGGCTTTCCCCCTTCTCAAATCACAGACTTGTTAGCTTTTTTGTTTCAAATGTTTTTTATTTTGTAAAAAATATATAAATATTAAGTAAATAAACAGGAAAAATACATTTTCATCATTTTGGCTTGTATCGTGTGGCTTGTAAATACAGCAGTGTCTTTTTCAAATTAGTCAGTTAGCTAAACACAGTGGTGCCCAGCCTTGGTCTTGGGGCTGTCATTCTGCAAGTTTCCCTTTATCACCTTTCTATATAGAACAATTTTTATATAATTTGGTTGAATACAGTACTTCAAAAGGCATGAATTGAAGGGAACCCTCAAGGACAGCCTTATGTTAACAGGATTGGACATCACTGCTCTGTAGTTATCCAAGGGAGTGGGTGCGGGGTGGGCTGGGCTGGGTTGTTCTTACAGCAGTATCAAATAAAACTCACAAATCGGTGATTGTTTCTCTGTAGAACTATGCATGGTGCATACTTGGTGCTAGGGCTGTTATGGTGACCGTATTACCGCCACACCAGCGGTCACGAGTCATGACGGCAGTCAAATTCTACGTGACCGTTTAGACACGATAATTAGGCTTCTCCATGCTCTGATGCTGCTGATGGTCATTAGTAGCCTACCAAACTTGCTAACTGCCTGGTACTCAGCACTCTATTGTCCCTCTAATCACTCTGACATCAATGCACATGTAATGGAAAATCTAATCAAACACTCCCCGAGAGCTCATGTTGCACAACATTTCTATGGGCTATGCAATTGCGTGAGAAAACAGAGTGATGGCCTCTATTAAAAGGAGGAGGATCCCATTAGCTTTGTATAGGCTAGGCCTACTATATTTCTCAACTTTCCTAATATTAGGCACATTGCTTCTCTTTACAACATGAGTATAGCCTACCTGGCTGGCATGAAAATGAAGCACGGGAAAAGCGTCCTCCATTCGCTATTTAAGTGCATACATTTACATTTACGTCATTTAGCAGACGCTCTTATCCAGAGCGACTTACAAATTGGTGCATTCACCCTATAGCCAGTGGGTTAACCACTTTACAATTTTTTTTTTTTTTTTTTTGCATAGTTGACATTTATATTTTTTAACCCCCTGACCCTGTTTCGAGACAGGTGCATGATAATGGTCCATCTAAATCAAAACACATATTATTTAGTTTATGTAAAGATTAAATCAAGAACAGTCTGATGGGGTGACAATATTAGCTTGTGTGCAGTAAGGCAAACAGCGCATACCTTTTTTTTGCTACTTTTTCAAATCATAGTCGCACAACTCATGTATTCTAGCCCATAGGCCTATCTGTTTATCACAACTAAAGTGGCCAAATAACTACTTAAAATTAAGCACATTAATACACTTTACAACGGGCGTAGAGGCTAACTGGCATACATACGCAGCGAGTGAGTTTCAAGTTTGGGGAAGATAATTTTCACCATAAAACTTCACCTTTATAATAAAAGTATTACATGCGTAATTGCATTTGCGATCATTTTTGAGAATGGCGTTCTCCCGCTAATTGATTGCATTTGGAACATTAACGCTTATAGCCTACTGCCATGTGTGCATTGAAGCGCTTATGTGAAGAAATAGTCTAATAGTTTATCAATATTTTAAGCTAAACGTTCTGATCTGTTGCGTCAGCCTTATTGCTTGTCCCAGACTGTTTGGAATATTTATTTCTCCTACAGAATAAAATAGGTTGACTTTTATACTATGGGGGATAGTAGATTGACATAGACAGCTATCCCCCATAGTACGAAAGTTTAATCTTGTTGGCTGACAAAGTACATGTTCTTCCAATATCTTCAATGTGCACCTCGGAAATTGGATAAGGACGCGCGCAGTTGCGTCCCTGATGTGTCTGTCTTCACTTGTAGCCTGTGAGAAAGACCCGACTGCGACCCCGAGTGGCGCAGTGGTCTGTGCCACTGTGCGATGCAGTGCTAGCTGTGCCACTAGAGATCCTGGTTCGAATCCAGGCTCTGTCGTAGCCGGCCGCGACCGGGAGACCCATGGGGCGGCGCACAATTGGCCCAGCGTCGTCCAGGGTAGGGGAGGGAATGGCCAGCAGGGGATGTAGCTCAGTTGGTAGAGCATGGCGTTTGCAACGCCAGGGTTGTGGGTTCGATAAAATAATGTATGTGCTAACTGTAAGTCGCTCTGGATAAGAGCGTCTGCTAAATGACTAAAATGTAAAATGTGATGGGCATTGGCTATTAAGAATTGAGACATGTGAGGGAGAGGTGCTTCTGAGCACACAACCGGGAGAAGGGAATTATAATTATTATATTCAGCACAAAGGCCACTGGCCGCCAAAGGCATGGATTTTTTTAGGGGGCGTTACGGCCACACAAAGGGGATGCCGCCGGGAAATTCGAGGCATTATCAAGTGCTTGTGAAATTGTGAATGAGAGGCTGATGAAATGTGTGCAGCCTGCGCAAATAACAAAGCATAGCTTATGCCTTTCTTGCGACTTTTTTCTAATCATCATTAGTCGCATCATGCAGCCTTAGAATGTACAACAAAATCTAAACATATAGCCGAACGTTTGTATCACAACTAAAGTTGCATAAATAGCTCCAAATTAATATACAGTGGGGGAAAAAAGTATTTAGTCAGCCACCAATTGTGCAAGTTCTCCCACTTAAAAAGATGAGGCCTGTAATTTTCATCATAGGTACACGTCAACTATGACAGACAAATTGAGAAAAAAATATCCAGAAAATCACATTGTAGGATTTTTTATGAATTTATTTGCAAATTATGGTGGAAAATAAGTATTTGGTCACCTACAAACAAGCAAGATTTCTGGCTCG